TTTCTCTGCCTCACTTTTCTCTCCAGTAAAATTTCCAACTTTACAGTATGTTCTAAAATCAAACAAAAAATCAAAAACAGGGCAGTGGGGGAAAGACTCAGAATCCTTTGAGAACCTCATATATTCACTGGTGTCCAGGAGCTGGAAATTTTAAGAGAAAAAATGAAACCACACTTTTGCAAATCACATGAGACCCATCATAAAATTGTCAGAGTTGGCAGCACTGTAAAATCTATGATATTGTGGGCTGGATTTATGGACAAGAATCCTGAGGCTTTGGGATATTTTTTTCCCTCAGCCCTCGAGGCAAAACAGCAATTTTTGGGAGGTTGGCTCTGCTGTGGGAGCAACCTGAGCAGCACAGGGGTGACTTTGCCCCTTCCAAGCATCCCTGCCTGTAGGAAAAGATTCACCAGTGCAGGTTTGGGGGCTGCTGGTGGGGAAAATCATCTCAAAACCCACCCAGCACTGGCTGGTGAAACTTGAAATGTGGAGTGATTGATAGGGGCAGACAAAGAGCTCTCTGTGCCTCTCAGGACATCAAAATCCTCCCCAGGTACCCGGCAGGGAGTGTTTGAGCCCAGGGAGGCAGCTGGAAAAACAGCATTGTGACCACAGGCTGGAATTGCTGCTCACTCTTTCAAATGTGTTCTCAGCATGGATTGGGTTCTGTGCTCCAAGGAATTGCTCAGCCTGCTCTTGTTTATTCTGCTTCATCCCTACAGGCCTGTTTGCCTCCTGCCTGGTGATGTTCCACGGCTCCTTTCCTCAGCAGATTCCCTGCTCATGGGGAGGAGGGGTCTCCACTGCCTTCTCCCCCCACCTCAGCAGCTCTCCTCCTCCTCTGGAGCTCCCTTTGGGGCCCAGTTCCCTCCTCACCCCGGGGTGCAGCTCTCCTGGACTCTGTTCCATCATCCCTGTCCCTGAGCAGCCCAGCCCCAACACCCTCAGTGGGGTTTATGGAAAACACCAGAGGATTGTTTGGGAACTCCTCACGTTTCAAGGTTTCTTATTAAAGAATCATGGAATGGTTGGTGTGGTAAGGGACCTTAAAGCCCATCCAGTGCCACCCCTGCCATGGCAGGGACACCTTCCACCATCCCAGGCTGCTCCAAGCCCTGTCCAGCCTGGCCTTGGACACTGCCAGGGATCCAGGGGCTTCACTGGGCACCCTGTGCCAGGGTCTCACCACCCTCACAGGGAAGAATTGCCAGTTTAGCTCTGAGTAGGGTGAATTTTGCAAGCTCATTTGTCCAATTTCTCCATGGACAAATGTAATTTTTCCCCTAATTTTGCTGTTTATTGTTATCGTCAGCATTATTATTCTTGGCTAAGAAATAAATCCATAAGAAAAGAAATTAAAGAAATCACATCAGGATCTTTGGAACACAAAATCACAATCAGAGGGAGAGAACAACCTTCTTCTTGACAGCTCCTGGTGTTGTTTTGGACCACCTGGGAAAAGTAGAAGCTCGAGATAGAGCAGGCACATCCACATCCAGGCTGGGATCACCTTTTCCCTTCACATCCTGACTCCTCCCAGTCCTACCCATGGAAATGGAATTCCATATGGAAAGGCCACGCTGACAAACTCCTTCAAAAGAGGAGGAAAAGAAGCCATACATTATTGGCTCCTCCCACCACCTTTCCTTTGCCTTGATCCCAGATTTTACTGCTGTGACAAGTGCTGATTCTGCTGCTGATGGCCTCCCTGCTGCTCATACCAATGTGGCTCCACAAAGCTGTATCCTCAGGGATCTGCCTGGTCTTCCAACCCCAAAACCCATCACAGGATCTCAGCATAACCCCAAAGAGCCAAAAACCAAACCTGAGGCGCTCTGAGGAAATGAGTGGAATTGGAAGCTTGAGGCTTTCCTCCCAGTGCTTAAGAAGTAATTTTCCATGGGAGTTTAGTTTTCCTTAATCCTCTTTGAGATGCCTGGCAGGCACTTCTGGGGAGACCTCTTTACTTACAGGGTAACCACTGCCCCTCAAATTACATGGGAATCACTCGATGGGGATTAGATGATTACATGGTCAGCAGTGGGACAGCGAGCTGGGAAAGGACAGCGCAGATGACAGCTAAATACAGTGTAATTGTTGTGTTCCTTAACTCAAAATGCAATTTACTCATCAATCTTGGAGCACTGCATGTTCTGTGTGATTTAATGCAACGTTTGGGGGATTCCCTGAGGGTGGCTCCATGCAGACAAAAAGCTTTGCAAGAATTGAGGTCCCAGCCCTGCCCCACATGTGGTGCCTGCATCTCCTTCTGCCCACAAATGTTGTTGATACCCAGAGCAAGCTCCAGCATCACATTTTGGCTGTGTCTAACCCAACAATCCCAAAATGTTTTGCAAGCATGAGGCATTAAAAGCAGACATCCAAAAAAACAAAAAAAGTTTTATTGGAGGCAGTGCTGGGAGAGGCCCAGAAGACTCCGTGCCCCACATCCCTGGGACAGCAAGGTGGGAATATCTCTGTGGAGTGGCCCTACAGATCCCGGGTGGGAAACGCAAGCACAGAGAGCTCCCAAGGCCTCGAGCATACACGCTCAGAGATAGAGATGGATACAGTGTTTGACCTCAGACCTTGGAAAAGGCTTGGAGCTTGAGGATAGAACAGTGAAACAGACACAAAATAAGAATAAAGATTTGTAGCTTAAGCAGAAATATGTTTTAAGCAAGTAGATCTAGGCCTCATACAAGTGGAGAAATAAGCAAGATAGTAGAATACAATTAAAGTTTAGCAACAGAACTTGTTATAGAGTTGATAAAAGGTAGAAGATACAGCAATAAGTTTCTGTAGAGTTCTACAACTGGACAGAAAAAGATGCATTGGTGTAAATTGTATAAAACTTAGCAATTAGCATTGGTAATGAAGATGCTAGCAAGCTTTGTGGAAGGTGCTGATTGGATAAGAACTATATAAAAGACATTGTAACTACAATTATAGCAGTTTCTGATGCAAGTCTTCTAATGTATGGCTTCTAAAGTGATGGTTTTGTGTGTAAAAACCTTCCATGAGACTGATTTTGCAATAAACCCTCTGTTAAACACCTCTTCAGCCAACCCTGTCTTTCTGCGTCTGAACAATCCTGCTGCCTTTCTGTGCCTTTTCAGAGAGTCCCTCAGTGTCCCTGCCATGTGGGACAGGCTGGGGACACCTCCTGGGCTCTTTCCATGCTCTTCCTGAGGTGATCCTGGTCTGGCTGGGAACACCTCCTGGGCTCCTTCCATGCTCTTCCTGAGGTGATCCTGGCTCTGCAGCTGCACAGAGCCAACCTTTCTGTTGGGCTTCCCAGCTGCAATCTCTTCATTGCTCTGGAGCTGATTTTCCCACCTGGTTTCCAGTTCCCAAAGCATCTCCTCTCCTTCACCCAGGCTGGGACACAACCCCACATCTCCCCTGGGCCAAACACCTCCCACCAGCCACACTTCCCTGGGAACAGGGTGGAAGTTCCACCTCACTGGGCATTGCCAATGCCACCCCAGCACCCACCGGTGTCACTTTGTAAATCTGCCTGGATGGGAAGGTGACCCCAGGAGAGCAGGGCCCTGGGGGACCCAGGCAGCTGTGGGGCAGACAAGGCCAAAGCCCCAAGCTCAGCTCAAGCTCAGCCCATCCCTACCTTCCCCCCTGTGCTGTTCCACCTCCTCTGCTACAACAGAAATCAATCAAAATTCAATTATAGGCATCAAGTAGGTGCAAAAAAATCTGCCCCAAACCCAAAAATACATTAAAAATAGGTGGGCACTCCCTTGCCATTGAGAGCGTGTGGTATTTATTAGCCATAAATTGGCACACAAAAATAGGAGGGCACAGCTAGGTTGGGATTATTTTTTTCTCCTTAGCTCCATGGCTTTGGGTACTTGTCTATATTCCCTCCCACATCGGAATTCCCACAATTCCCACCCACATTCCCAGAGGTTGACAAGCTCTTTAGTTAATTAGAATTACTTTTAATTAAAAATATATGTAAATTATATAGAGTGTGCACAGCTTGGAGAGGAAAAAAAAAAAAAAAGAAGAAAAGAAAGCAAACTTCCATTTCAATAAAAATTTGAACCTCTTGGAATCAGCTGCTTTTGTGACATCCTTGGAGTTATTGGAACTCCCACGTATAAATAAATAGGACCAGGAAATTTTACACCTGAAATATTCTGCAGTAGACATTTTTCCTTGCACAATTTTGCTTTTCCTTCTCTTTTTGCCTCTACCACTCCCAGCCTCTCATGATCACTTTCTGCCCCTTTTAAACACATTTATTTAATATCTCACATCACACACCCAGACTGATATCCCTTTTTTTTTTTTTTTTTAATTTTTCCTTTTTCTTTTGGAGAGGAAGCAAAGGAACACAGGAGAAAATGAAAGCCTGGGATTGCAAACAAGCGTCATCATCATTTTGGTGAGCAAACTTTTTCCTCTCAGTGTCTCCCCCCTCTCCCCCTGTGGCAGCTGGCTCAGAGCCCGGCTTTCCATACGCTGCTAAAAATCCAGTAGGACTCAAGCTGGGGATGTTTGGAAGGTTGGAAATAACCCCATGATTCCGGCAGAGACGGCTGAGGGACCAGGAAAGACCAGGAGATGGGAAGGGAAGAGGAGTGAGAGAATTACAAGTGGGAAAGGAGATGAGGGGATGGTTTATGGAATGGTTCCTGGAGAGAATTTTGGGGAATTTGTAAGGAAACACAGCTCCCTGTGGGAGTAATTTTACTCTTGGTACAATGCCTGGGTGAGGTAGGTACTGGATTTATTTATTTGGGGGTTCTCAGTACCTCTTTCTGCTGAAAAGTAAAGATGACACTAACTAAAAGAAAAAAAGAAACACCACTCCAAAATTCACCCTTGGTAAAAAGGGCCGGTGTCTTTTTCTTTTCTTTTTTTCTGAGAAAATGGAAAGAAAAAAATATATATTATTATTTATTATATAACATTGTCAACATCAACACCACAAGTAACATCCTAATTGTTCTCGTTCAAGCATTCTGACCATGGTGAGAAAGGCAGCAGGAGTTTGGTGTCCCTTGGAGAACAAAAAGAGCAGAAGGACGGGGAGGGGGACGAGGGTGGTTGCAGCAACACAAACTGGGTGGGACCGTGGAGGGACAGAAGTGTGCTGGGCTGTTGGCTTTTCTTTTGAAACCAAAGAAAACAAAAGGGGGGGTCAGGGCAAGTCACACCGAGGCCGATGACTTCCAGCCGTGGTTTCAGTCAGTGTCCGTCCCTCTCGAGTGCTAGCGGTGAACATTCACTTCAAGGAGTCTTGCAAAACGCTTTGTTATCAACAGGGGGATTCTTTTCCTTTTCCTTCTCCCGTTTGCTGGGATTTTCCCGTGGCTCTGGCATTCCCTGCCCCCCTGGTTAGCTGTTCTCACTCCACTCTGGCACCATCCCCACGCCGTGCACCGAGTGGTACTGGTGGGGCGACAGGGTTCGAGGCACGCCGTGGGAATACAGGAATTCCGCTGGCTGGAGGCTGCTGGGAGGGGACTGAATGCCCGTTTGAGGTCCACACTGCCTCACGATGGGCTGGTGAGAGCTTTGATGCTGGAACATGCTGTGGGTGTCTGCGATTTGGGGCGACGTGTGGTTGGCCACGCTGCCCAGGCGAGGCATGAGCGGCCCCGAGGTGAAGTGGGCAGAGAAATGCTGGTAGGGTAACCTGTCCATGGGCTGCATGGCAGACACTGTGCAACTGCTGTACGAGGGCACGCTGGGCCACGTGTTACAGCTGATGTCCTCCAGGCTGGGCACGGGCTCCGTGGGCGGCGCCGAGCTGGCGTACATGCAGGCCTGGCGCTGCGCCGACTCAGTCCTGTACGACGTGTTCAGTCCCTGCTGCTGCGGGTAACTGGACCTGTAGAAAGGGTCCTCCTCTGCTGGAGAGGTTTCCATGTAGGGCTTCTTGTAGGGATGCTCGGTGGTGGAACATTCCTCATCTGTTGGGAGAGAAAAGTCATTGGTAATGACTTTTACCACCAGTGATAATGTGCCTGCAGCTGAACGTCCCTCTCTACAGTCCTGCTTTTACTGAGGACAAGCTGACACTTCCATCAGTGTAAATCCCCATCATTTCCCTGGAACTGATCTCATCTATCCTGTGGAAACCAAGCCTTGCACTTGGCCCTCTCTCCTGGAGGGGGGGAAGGGATTAGCCAGGAACTCTGGGAGGAAAAATCAAGATGCTGGAGGGATCCTGAGGTTTATCTTGCTTGGTGATCCCCCCACATGCTCCCCATCTCCTTCCTGCTGCCACTTTTACCTGAGGAATAACATCTGCCTGTGACCTCTGCATCTACCAGGATCCCCCCTCTCCCATAGGAGGCTCACAGCTGATGCTGTCAACTCAAATCCTTTACAACAAAATATTTCCATGCTAAAATATAAATTATAAAAAGAGACAAAAAAGGAGATCATAATAAAAATCCTCCCAAGAGAGCACCAGCAATGGCACGGTTGGGACAATCAGATTTGGAGTTTGACAGCCCCAGCCTTCAGCTGTGCCAAGGCAGCTGGGCACATAAATCCACACAGGGCTGTGGGCACATAAATCCACACAGGGACGTGTGCTGGAGCCAAGGGGAACAAAGGAGAAAAGTAAATTTCACAGCTAGAAACAGCAAGGCACATCTTGCAGAGCCCTTTGTTTCCTGCAGCATCCCAGGCCAGCAGAGGGAAGGAGATAAACAATTTAGGTGAAATCTCCAGGGTGAGGCCAAATGAATAAATGAATGTGCACTTATTTATTCATTCACAGGGTCATCAAATGAAATCCAGCTCTGCTGGAATGGATGGCAAAATTCCCAGGGATGAGCACTTCACCAAGAGATTTTAAGGACAGTGTGGCAAGGGAAGGGGAGCTGTTCTGACATGGATTAACTTTGCTGCTGTTTCAAAAACAAGATTTCTGGTGCAGGCAAGAAAACATCCCACTTGGTTAGAGCTGTCCTGGCTGCACCCTTTGAACAGGGGTCAGATTTGAAAGAAATTTGGAACAAGTTACCCTTTACAATTTTTCTCCACCAACGTGTTTTGAGCTGTAATTTTTTCCACCCCCAAAATATGGTGGGGAAACAAACCCCAAAGAGCTGCACAGAAAGGAGGACTGAGAGCATCTGCCCCACAAGAGGCACAGAGGTGCTGCTGCCAGGCTGCTCCGAGGGGAATGCTCATGTCACACCTTCAGGAGAGGCAGGTGGGCAGTGCAGGCAGCTTTTGTTTCTTCTAAACACGCACATGCACGTAACCCTTATTGCCCTGAACCATGAGGGCTCTCCTGGAAGCTGCACCCTCTCTGCATGTAAAATAACCTCTTGTTCCCACCCAGGGGTCTTCCAAGTCCAGCTGGAACAACTGCTGCTCTTCATCTTGCTTCAACAATTCCACAAAGAGAGGGAGAGACTTGGGGACGTCATGGTGTCCTGAGGGACACCATGGGGACATCCCCACAGTGGCCTTTGGCTCTGTAATAGCATAATTCATCTGGAAAGCCACAGTCCCATTTCATTCTTCCTGACAACATCAAAGCCTGGCTCCTTCACCTCAGCAATGCAGAGCCCTGATAATCAAGCTTCTCCTCTCCCTTCCCTGTACATTGGGGTGGGAAGCAGGATGAGATAAATGAGCAATTCCATCCCATTTTTGAAACCAGCTGAAACAATGAGCAGGAAGGTGCAGGAATGTGTCATCCTCCTCAACCCAGCTCAGGTCCAGTTTTTGTAGGAGCAGAGGAAAGGATGGGGTCCCCTGAAAGCCTAAAGCTGGAGGCACAGGTCTAACCTCTCTCCTGATCTCAGCTCCATGTCAGGAGGTACGTCTGGAAGAACAGCCTGAGCTGGAGCTTTTATGGACAGTGTAAAAAGTTTGGATTCCTGACCCACCGCTGAGTAATAAGAACACTGGGGTGGAAAAACAATGTCTTGTAAAATGCAGCATTGTTCTGCTAATAAAGTTTTCAGCATTAAACCGCATCACTCTGCTGGCACCAGAAATCATTGGCTTGGGGTTTGACTGTTTATTTTATTTTGATTTTTTTAAATATACAACACAAACCAGTCAAACTCTGTTTTTCCATGGTGTAAAACAGCCTGACTTACAACCTGAGCTTGCTGATTTTTCCATTTAGCCCAGACATTTCACAGCCTGCCACAGCCCAGCTGGGCAGAGCTGCAGTGTCACAGAACCACTTCCAGAATCCATCACAGGTGAAGAGAAAAAACAAAGCTGACCAGGATTTCAGTGGTAACCCCATAAGGGCCCTCTGTTCTTCTGTAAGCTCTCAGGATCACTCTGCTGGTCTCTCTAGAGCCAGGTTCACTGATATTTTATGTGGAAAGGTATTTTAAGGTGTGTAAAGACCTTGTTCTCACTTCCAAATGGGACCTAGGCACTAACAAAGGATTCCAGCCTGCCCTAACAGCTTCTGCCCATCCTCCTGCCCCTCTTCCCAGTGATTTTCATATTTATGGACCCTCAAAGTGCTAGACAGGGAAGAGAATGGTCCCTGTGCATCCTGAGGTGGGATGGTGCAGAGCAGAGAGCCTCAGCTGGTGCTGCCTGAGGGATTTGCAGCAGTCCAGGCTCTCTGGTCTTGTCCCACCACTCCCCACAGAGGAGATCAGAGCCAGCACAGAGCAGCCAGAGGGCATCCCCAGGTGTGTGGAGCAGCTTTAGGGGGGAAAGGGGACATCTTCAATGACAAAAGGAGCTCAAGACAAACAGGTCTCTCATGCAATGCCAAAGGCTGCAGTTTCAATTCACCTTCACGGGCTCTGGAGCCTGGACAGTGCAGCTCAAGGGACAATCCTGTCCCTGAACGTCCTCTTACCTCCTCCTGTCAGCGTAAGCAGGACACTGGAGACTCAGGGTTTGATTCCTGGTGTTGGTTCCCTGACAGCAGCTCCTTGTCCCTTTCCAGGTGCCACTGAGCCCTCAGAGGAGTTGTTGGCTATCCTGGGAGATATCCTGCCCATCCCCCCGCCGTGTTGCTGCTATTCTTGGAAGCCAAGGGTGGTGATCAGCTCTAGGGAGCAGCCCCTCGATGCTGCACAAACCTCAAAAAGCAGGAGGTGCTGCCAAGCAGGGGGAGCTGCCAGCACCAGGGAGAAGCTGCTCTGAAGTGAATCCAAGGAAAACGGAGCCTGAAGAATGGGGTGGAAACTGGCTCCCTCACAAGGAATTTGATGATCTATCTAATGAAGGAGCTTGAGCGAGAGCATGAGCGCTTCCAAGATTTCCGGTATTTACTACTTCCAGCTGGGTTGTAAATACCACGCAAATGGCTTTTTAAATGGAATTTTCCCAATTCCAAGATTCGGGCCACGTAGAATGAAATGCAAACATGGAAAGCCTCTGGACTTCAGGGTGTGCTGGGCCTCCCTCTCCCCCTTGGTGTAAATGAGGAGAGCTCCTTCCCCACAGATGACACTCATCTCCCCAGGGTGGAAGACAATGAAGAATGGGACACGACTTTTTTGGTTTTCAGAGCTCACCCACACTTCCAGGGTGTTACAGGAGGTTCATCCTGACTTTGTGAGGGAAACACAATGGGTGATTATTACGAACTCTGTTGTTTTATCCAGTCTGGATTCCAGAGCCCGAAGAGCCAATACCAGGGTGCAAGAGTGACAAAGGTTGTCCAAGAAGAAAAGGACAAGGCAGATCCAATCAAAATGAAAATATCTAAAGAATAAATAAGTCCTAAATCCTAGGACATGGAACCTAAGACACTCCAGCCATTCCAGCTATATCTCACTGTTTGTGATATGGCTGTGTTGTACTGAACACAACAGGGCTGTGGGACAGGGACAATCCAACCCCCAAAAGCTGGAATCTTTTCCACAGGCAGCAAGCTGCCAGCACTCTCTGCAGAGGCACAGAGGCACCTCTGACAGGAGAAGGGGTTCAGAGAATGGGTCAGGTTGGAAGGGACCACAGTGGGTTATCTGGTCCAACCTCCCTACTCCAGCAGGGTCACCCCAGAGCACATGGCACAGGACTGTGTCCAGAAAATTCTGGAATATCTCCAGAGAGGGGACTCCACACCCTCCTGGGCAGCCTGACTGGAAAGAAGTCCTTCCTCATGTTCAGGTGGAACTTCCCAGGCATCAGTTCCTGCCTGTTGTCCTGCTGCTGGACACCATGGAGCAGAGCCTGGTCCATCCCCTGGCACCTTCCCGCACACTTCCCCTCTTAGTCAAGACTGGCCCAGCTCCCTCAGCCTTTCCTCATTAGGAATATCAAACTACAGTGCCACAAGAGTGTCACTGCTCAGCAAGAGCTGGGTGCACCCCAGCTCCCTGAACATCTCCTCCCCATGCAGGGAGTCCCTTCCTCAGCCTCAGTGTCCCACAGCCACCCTGCCCTGGGCTCCACTGCATCTCTCCAGCTGCAGCACAGCCTGAGCCTTGGCCAGCTCATCACATCTCCAGGCATCAGGGTGTGATGTCTGGAGTGAGCAGCGTGTCCTCCAAGGAGATATCCCATGCCTGAATTTTGTCCTACAGATTCCTTGAGTGAAAAAAACAAAGCTGGGTGGGATGTGGGAGAAGTTGGTTCGGTCTACAAAGAGGTGTGTGCACATTGACAGTGCCTGTTCTTGAGGGGAAGGTGGAAAGGCATTGCTGTACCAGCACTGACCTCATCAGAGCAGGAAGGAGATGAAAGATAAATCCTTCCCCAGGGTGATGTCCAAGTTAGGGGGCTGAAGGACATGGTCCTCACTGGTTGGAGCCAGTGGATTCTGCCACGTCCTTCTCCCTCAGAGTGCCAACTTGACAACTTTTATAACCTCCCCAGGGAGAGACTGTTCCAGTTGCCTCCTGTTCAGCATCGCAAGCATCCCAGAAATCTGCCAAGTGGTTGGGATTGTGTAAGGCTGGGAGGGAGCAGAGGTTTAGAGGGATGACTATTTAGTCCACAGGATATCTGAGAGAGAGGATAATACAAGGGAAAACAAGGCCCAGTATCCTAACTGGGATGTGGGGCTAAATGAAAGACACAAGGCAAGCTGCCTGCTGGTGAGGCCTTTTGGGCTTCTCCAAGCACAACAATGGAGAGGGAGAGGTGGAGAACAACCAGAAAAAAAGACAAAGCTCCAACTGCTCTTTGTGTCAGCCTAAAAATCCACATCAAGAGCTGAGGCTGCTCCTTGATGAGATCCAGGGTTGGAGGTAGTCCATCCTCTCAAGACCAGTGACTTTGTCATATGCCATCAGCAATCCCAGTGTGGGGCTGGGGTACAAGGCAGGATGACCCTTGCCATTCCCCATTCCTGGAACAGTGACCCCACTGCAGTGCACCGGGGTCATTCCCAATGCTGTGACCCTGCCCTCCCACCTGCACACCAGGAATCACCAGATTAGGAGCTCTGGGATGTGTCCTTCCTTCCTTCCTCAGCCAGGAGAGCATCACCTCCCTGAAGCAGGGGAGCCTTCAGCGATAACATCCCCTGGCAGCCCTGCTGCTCTCCCCTAATGTAATTCCATATCAGATCTCCACAGTGAATCCATCTTGCCTTGACAGCTAAGAACAACACTGCCAGCCACAGAGACTTATTCTTGTCTTAGGTCACCAGGAAAGCAGAAATTGAACAAGGTTCCTTTGAGTTGGGTGAACACAGACCTGTCCCTAAGTGAGCCTAACCCAAGGCTTGGCTCTGATTGAAGAGGAGGCAGAGAAAGTTCAGGAGATGTCAAAGCTGGAAGGAGACTGGCTTGGAATTCACCCCAGAAGATGCAGACAGCAGCTGGTCACAAAGCCAGCTGAACTGCCCTCTGCCCCTGAGAGCACTTATCCGTAACCACAGCCTTGGGAAAGGAAACAATCCGCTTGAGATAAATCCTAAGCTGCCTGGGGAGGAGTCAATGCTTGGGGAGTGGATAGTCCAACACAATCAATAAGATTTCCAGTCCAGAAAATGGACAGAGGGACAGTAGGAGCAGACAAACTCTTGCTTTTGAGTTTTCTGAGGTGGTGAGACTTGTTAACTGTCAAGAACAAATGTAGGAAAGCAGGAGAACTATGAGAAAAAACTCAGAAATGAGAGGCTGGAACCTCAAAAAAAAAAAAAAAAAAGAGGAATATCATACATAGGATTATTTTCCCATGTCCAACAAAGATCCTTGCTGGTGCTGGAAGGAAGATCCACGCTCAGTGACATGAAACCTTGGATCACGGTCTGATTTAACCAACCCAAATTGCTCATCTCTGATGACTTTTTTTTCCTTTTAATTAATTTCACTTTGCAAAGAGCTGCTTGGCAGCTCAGGCTGGCTCTCTGGTTCCTATTAACTTTGTGTTTCTTTCCTCTAAGCCCTGGTGGCTGTTTTCGATTTACCAAAGGCACAGGGAGGGGAGAGAAGGCGGCGCAGGGAGGAGAGCAGCGGCTCGGCCTGCCGGGACACCCAGCCCCGCGGAAGAAGCCGCTGCTATCGGGCAGGACGCTGCTCCTCTTTGATTAAAGCCTTTGGCGGCTTTGATAAAGGGCCCTTAACTGCTTGTGCCACTCAAGGCATGGCAGAGATAAGGAGGGGCCATGGGCCCTGCAGACAAGGCCTTGCTCGGCCTGTCCCCCGCGCTGTGCCACGCAGGCCGAGCGGGCCGGGGAGCTTTATTCCAGGGCAGATAGCCGTGTCTTCTGTGACAATAAGAGGAAGTGAGATAATTGGGGGATTGAGGGAAACCACCCATGGAGACACCACTTAGCGGGAATCCCAAAACTGGAAGGAAACCTCTGTTGGTTCCTTATCACGTTACAATGCGGAGGCGAATGATGAATTGCCCCGCGGGGCAGGGACACGGAGCAGTCAGGGATTGTCCCAAGGGCTGTTTGTCATTTGGGCCAGCTTGTTTTGGTTAGTTTTGGAAAAGGGGGAAGAGCAGAGGTGAGAGCTCAACTCCCAGGACAGCGGAGCTGAGAAAGGACTCCCAGGAGCTCCCAGCACTGAGCAAGGATCACAGGGACCACCTTCCACCACCAGCAGTGGGACTTGGCAGCACCCCAGCATCTTCTCCCCTCAGCAATGCAGGGGTAAAACAGGCCACACACCCCCTTCTGTGTGGGGGACGCTTTGGGCATCTCCTTATTCCCTGCCTTACAGCCGGCTCAAGGCCAGCATCCCCATTTCCAGTCCCTGCTCTAACACATTCTATGTGAGCACAGTCACCTGGCCAGCTGGAGGGGACAGAAAATACCACCTGTTTTCCACTGTTTACCTCAATCTCGGGAAAATATTAGGATTTCTCAGGGCTTTTTTTTTTTACTTTGCATACCTTACACAACCCATGTGCTCCTACAATATCTGGAGGATTCACCAAGGACATGGGAGAGACTTCCACTGCCCTCCTGCCTCCTCTGCCAGCACTTCCCAGCCCTCCCTACCTTAGACTGTGTGTCTGCACATCCCAGTGCTCCAGGGGTTATGTTGCTAAAAATAATGACACGTGTCTGACTGATAGGGTTGTGCAGGGAAGCGGGAAGGGCTCTGCTGTGGGGAGAAATTCCTGCTGACTTGGTGCTTGCTGCCTTCTGGAAGCTTTTCCATAGATCCATAGAGTAAATCCTGAGAAAGGCAACAGGGTTGGCAGAAACCAGCTCCTGCTCACCCCTTGTTGCATCCAGCCCTGGAAATCCCCTATTTGTTTCCAAGTAAGACTGATCTAAAGCTTTTGCTGTCTCAGTCCTACAAGTGGTGCTGCATTGAAGCATTCCCACTGCTTTGGGAGAGGAGGGCAGAGACCACAAACCCCTTTCTCCTGCCCAGAACAATTATCCCATCGCTATCAGGGGCCTCTTCACGCCAGGACTAGCTGAGCAGTCACTGGAAAGCCCTCACAGTTTGATCCCTAAAGCTCTGTCAAAAGCAGCTCAGTGGCAGCAGGAGGGAAGGACCATGGATATCATGGGTTTCACTCCCAGGCACCCTTCATTAGCCTGAGCATTTCTGCAGACAGAAAACTGTCTCCCAAGTGAGAGACAGCCCTGAGTTGAAAACTGGGCAAAATACAAACTGTCAAGGTATCTCCACTTGGAGATTAACCCTGTCTGAGGGGCTGCAGATAAGTCATCTTTATCTCCAGCACCAGCTATCTTTCCAAATGTGGATTCATGGTGGGTGAAAGGCACTGCCAGCCCTCCAAACAGCTCATTCCCAACCCAGCAGAAATGGGATTTTAGAGTTCCCAGCCCAGCTTGGGGGAGCTGCCCACAACCCTCATGCCTCGTTCATTTGTTTGTTGCATGCTATTTTTGCCAAAAAATCAACTATTGGAGGAGGGAGACAAAGGAAAGTATTTTCTCACTGAATATCTAAAATACTCTCTTTCTTTCACTTTGATGTTTTTCTACCCACAAAGGCAGTTATCCTTGGAGCTGTCCAAGGGGAAACATCAGGAAACAATGCTGACAGTCATGTTAGGAGGGGGGAAAACACGAAGCAGGGAGCAGGCAAGCTCTGACCTTTTCTCTTGGTGCAGTGGTAGATCTGGCCGTGCTCCTGGGAGATGGGGTAGGGGTTGGCAGGAGGCAGCAGGTCCTGGGAGGTGCTGGACACCCCGTTCTCACACTGGTACTGGGAGCCCAGGTTGGAGGAGGCAGAAAGGACCCTGGTCTCGCCGCTGAAGGGGCTGTGATTCGAGGACACTTTTTGTCTCACTGTGCTCCTGGGAACAACTGGGTACTCTTTACTACAAGCAAATAAACAGAAGAGAAACAAGTCAGCAAAGCAATCAATTAATAAATAGATCAGAGGATTAATAAATGAAGGCAGCACATTAGTGTCATGGAGTTTGTTTTGGCTTTCAGGGAAATGGAGATATCCCTCCCTGGAGGCTGCAGTCCCGTCACACTTTATCCATGCAGAACTCGTTATTCCCTTTCTTTTTAGTCCCCTTAAATTCATGCCTTTTAAACCACCACTATTTTATACCCACACATAAAATATATAAATACTGTTTCAGCAAAATAAACAAGATTTCTATTTACATATTGTAGCATTTATAGGCTGTATACTGTTTGTAATGTATTTGCAATATGCACACGCATGTAAATAGAGACATAATTTCTGCCAAGCTGACTTGGAAATTAATTAAATATTTAGGTCTACTTTTTTTCCCTTGTAGTAGTCGTCCCCATTCTTTTTGCCTGGAGTCTGTCAGCCTGCTTGTGCTGGATAGGGTATCTCTGCACCACAGACCAAGCTCAGAAAAGAGAAATAAATAAATCACTGAGATTTGATGCACACCAGAGCCTCAGCAGAGGCAGGATGGGAGGGAAAGCCTGGATTGTTCCCTTGCCCCCAGAGCTGGTTTGAAGTCAGGATGCTTTGCCAGCACAGGCTGGAAATCCCCTCTCCTCAAAGACCCTACAGTGTTTTTGGAGGTGTTTCTCCAAACACATTGGCAATGTGACAACCCCAAAGGTGATTCCTGCTCTGCAGGGAGCACTGAAGCTGAACAGGGGGTCTCAGACACTTCAGGTGAGGTAAAAGTCTCCTCCTGAACCCAGAGGCTTGCTACATAAAGATCTGGTAGTACAGCTCCCCAAAATGTCACCAGGCTGAGAGCAGCCACAAAGTGCTGATTCCTACACAAGTTTTCTCCTCTGAGTCTGTAGCCATTGGACCAAGCTGGCTCTGAGGTACCCCCCTCACCTGTCCAAAATCATTGTGCTGGAGCAAGGACAGCTCCTTAAATGCCATCCACTGGCTCACCTGGCTACTTCCATGCAGAGGAAGAGCCCTGAACCTGCAGTGACACCCCTCAGGGAGGATCTATCACTGAAGAATTCAGAACTTATTTACAAAATATAACAATAGCAGTCATATAAACCTACGCCAGCAGGGAGCTTTCATCCAAACCACTGCTGAGCTGGCTGCCAGAAACATCAGCAACTGAGCTGGAATGGAAGGGAAATTCACCCAGGAGCTCAAACCCATAGAAATGTGGCTCTGCTTGGGCCATGAAAGCTTTCCCAAGCCCAGCAACTGGGGGCTTGCCAAGGACAGCCTGCTCCAAAGGTGGGGTTTCATCCCCTGGAAGCAGCATTTGCTCAGAACTAAAATCCAGGCTGTGCATGAGGAACAAAAGAGAGATGGACTAGGAGGAAGATTTATCCCTCGGATATTCAGGGCAGCAGTGGATGCCAGGATATGTGGTGGGACTCAGAGGACCTGCCCTTGGACACCCAGCATTTAATTCCACCAGGAGATTTATCTGGAGGGCAGATTTGGTGGCTTCTGGGGAAGGTCAAGAACTGTGGCCATCAAACCTCAGGGATGACCCTCAAATCTCTGAGTTCTAAGGGATCTCCCAGCCCTCCCAGGTGATAGTTTTGAGCTGCCTGTTGCACCTTCACCCTGTGATCCTCAATGAAAACTGTACCAACACAACACCCCTAAGCTGCATCCTCACCTTGTTTCCCTTCCAAGGAGTTCATGTGCAAGGAGGTGACTCCTGGATGCTCCTCCTTAGCTCTCCTTCCTGAGGAGAGGCTGCATGGATTGTCTGGGTTCATCTCTCTTAGCCCCACACAACCAACATCCAATTCCCAAAAAATGACAGATCTTTGCTTTGTTTCCCAGTGGGAACCTGAGAGCTCCGGTGGAGGGCAAAGAAGGACATCTCATGGCATGAAGCCAGGTCATGTGACACTGAGGAACATCTTTCACTGGTAGATTTGGCCATAGTGGGTAAATCTGGGGTGAAATCCTGGAGGTGTTTTCCAGTCTCAGTGATTCTATGACCCTTTTCAAAGGACATCTCTTTGGAATGTGATCTCCATGGGGATTTCTGACCGTAAATTCCCAGCGGGACCCCACAAAGGTCAGGCCCTCGCTATGCCGAGCCCCACCAAAGCACTGGGAGCCAACCCCACCCCAGATACTTCTCACCCTAGCCAACACTTTCCTCTCTTTCAATGGAGAGCTGAGAGCAGGAAAAACTGAACAACCTGATTAGGGCTTTTATTTCTTGATGAAAAACTATATTCCTAGAATCATGAAGGCCAGAAGAGACCTCCAAGGTTCAGTCCAACCTTTGATCAACACACTGTCAACTAAACCAGAGCACTGGGTGCCATGTCCAATCATTCCCTGGGCACCTCCAGGGATGGAGACTCCACCACTTCCATTCAAAGGCCTGACCATCCTTCCGGTGAAGGAATTCCTCCTGCTGGCCAAAGGGAAGCTCAGTTCCTTTCAGGCCAAGGAGGAGCTGTTTGTCTGCAACAGCAATACTTCAATCCCAAGTGCCAGAGCACAGGGGTGTTGCGTTCCAGATTCTTTCCAGACTGCATTTCCCAGGGAATAGGGGAATCTCCATGGCCAGAGGAGAGGACTGTGCTGCTCTGGGGGATACAGCAGGAGCTGGGAGTCACACAGGAGAGGGAACTCCCAGCTCCTGCTGGTTGGACACACACAGGTTGGACACACCAAATTTCCAAACAGCAATTCCCAGGAGGTATCGCAATAACTTCTCTCCAGACTGAAATATTTCCATTTCAGTCAAAACACGTTGGGTGATATTTTTGCTAAAAAATCAGCTACTGGGGGAGGGAGATGAAGGAAAGTGTTTTCTTACTAAATATCCAAAATATTATCTTTCTTTCACTTTGATGTTTTTCAATGCACAAAGGCTGTTATCTCTGTAATTCTGCATATTCCTCCTTATACAAGCTGAGCTGAAATAAATCTTTGGCATCTTCTATAGCAGCAGTCATCTCAAAATATTTCTGTTTTTTCCTGAGCCCACTCAACATGTAGAGTGCACAGCTATCATTTTTAAAGACTGAAGGACAAACTGAAATGGATCAATTTTTTTTTTTTTTTCTTAAAGTCACTATTCCCAAAATAGTGGTTGTCATCCTGAGCTATAGTTTAATAGAATGGTTTCTGTCATATCCAGAAATTTTGCTGTCCAAAACAAAATCTGCAGCGAAGTAATAATGGGGGGAAAGAGTGTTAAAGCTTGACTTAAGCAATGTAAGAAATTGTCCACATAGCAAGGATGAGGTTGTTTATGCTTCTTGGCCAGAACATTAGTTTTACATGGGGTGTTAATGAGCTACTTCCATTTTTGCGTTAAAAATTGCAAAACTAAAAGAAATTTTTAAAAAGTTGATTGGGAAAAGAATTTACAAGGAAAAAACCTGTCCATGGTCTATTTAAAGCCTGTTGGAAGCTAATAATGAATATTTAGTTACTGTATTAAAATAGCAGAAGGGGAGAGGGAGGAGCAGCAAAGGTGCTGTGTAATATTTTGATTTTTTTGTTAAAAACATGGGAAAAGAAGTCATTGATGAGGTCCAAGACTATTGGTGCTGAAGTCTTAACTCTGTTCTTGCCTCCCATCTGGCCAGAGGTCTCCCAAATCCACAGGGTTGGACAGCAGCTCTGCAGAACTTCCCAGTAGCACCCACATTCCTCTTCAAATTCCTCACAGAACTCCCACCCTACAGCTCAGGCCTGACAAGTGAATCCCTCCTGCAATCCCAAATCCCACCTCTGCCGGGTGGAATTAGAAACTCACTCTCATTTTCTCTCATGAAAACTTCCCCTTTCCGTGATGCCAAGTGATGCTCTCACCATGACAGACTCAAGAGTTTTTTAAGATCACTTCTGCCACAAACTCACGGCCAGCAAAGAATTCAAAGCAGCAAACTCAAGATGATTTTGCAATCTGAGAACCAGAAACCTTGTTGGCCACTGCAAATTACTAATAACTGAAAAAATTATAAATACAGACCTGCACAGAGCAACATCCAGTTCACTTTCTTATTACTACACTCTAAGAGCATAAAAGTTTTCCATATATTTTCATGTGCAGACGTGAAGTTTCCTGAGGTACAAGCCAAGGCATAGTAAATGAAGCTGCCAGACAAAAACCTGGTTGGAAACCTCTCCAAAAACCCACAGTTTAGAAATAGGAACCTCCTGCACTGAAGCATCCAACCCCTACTGGCCCTAAACAAGTTATTTTAGAAGATGTTCCTGATATTTCTGCAACAAAACATTGGATACCTCAAGGTTTTCCAGAGCTGCTGTAGCTCATGGCAACAAGGCTTCAAAAGGCTTATTAAATATCAGATCCCAAGGATCTGTGGGAGGTCAAGGTGAAGCATGACATGGGAAAGGATTTCCTTTCCATGTTTTTACAGCAGCCTTGGAAATCCCTGAACTGTGTAAATCTTGTTCACAATATCAAATCTTAGTCTAAAACCTGACCCAAGGATGAACACAGGGATTCCTCTCCACTCTTTCCTCCTTGGGCAGTCCCAACAAAAGGACAAATATTTGTCACCCCATCAGTGTTGTCCCCTCTACCCAGCACAGACTCAAACCCCAGTTCCAGATGTGCAAATACAACTCAATGGCTTTGGGGTTTATAGTTCCCAGGCCACCAATTGTTGTCCTTCCTGCTGAGGCTCAAGAGAAGGGAAGAAGTGGAAGTCAGCCGTGACAGACACAGCAAAAGGAAAAAAAGGGGGAAAAGTGCCTGGAATAAACAGATCATCTCCCAGGGGAAAAAAAAAAATCAAACCAAACCCAGTTGCCAGTGTGCATTCATTTCAGCTGATTTCCAGAATACTGAAATAAAATTGAACCACTCTCAAGAGGCTGTCTGGAAGTGGATAAACTACAGCAGGAAAGGACGTGGTAGGAGAGGAATTACTGAGGACTTCCTGCAGTCTCAGCCTCTGAGTAACCATGACCCCTCTCTGTGTGGGGACTGCAGAGCAGCCCACAGGGAATAACACCCGAGACTGGACGTGCAGCAGCACAAACCAAAACGTCCACTGAGGAACATGGGAGTCTGTTCAGTGCCCCATTCTCCTCCAACACAGCAAACGTCCTGACCTTCCTGCCAGGACCTGAGGGGCTCCGAGATCCTTGGGCAATCTCAGGCAGCTGAACAAGGCCAAGTGTTGGTGCCGTGCTGGGGCAGGGACAATCATGGGATCAGTCCAGGCTGGGGATGAAATGATGGAGCAGCCCTGGGGAGAAGGGATTTGGGGTGCTGGTGGGGGAGAGCTGGATATGCCCCAGCACCCAAAAAACCTCCCAGGTCCTGGGCTGCCTCCCCAGCATCACAGGCAGCAGGGCAAGGGAGGGTTGCTCTGCCCCACCCAGGTGAGACCCCAGCCCTGGACCCAGCACAGGGAGGACCGGGAGCTGCGGGAGCAAATCCAGAGGAAGCACCAGGATGGGCAGAGGGATGGAGCAGCTCTGCTGGGAGGAAAGGCTCTGCTGGCAGAACTGGGATTGGAATTTGTCTCTGGAAAAGAGAAGGTTCCAGGGTGACTTACAGAGAGTTGGAGAGAGGCTGTTTACAAGGCCTCGGAGTGACAGGAAAAGGGGAAATGGCTTCACAATGATAGAATAGGTTTAGATGGGATATTTGGAAAAAAACCCACCCCTGTGAGAGTGGGGAGGCCCTGGCACAGGGCCACAGAGGAGCTGTGGCTGCCCCTGGATCCCTGGCAGTGTCCAAGGCCAGGCTGGACAGGGCTTGGAGCCACCTGGGATGTGCAAGGTGTCCCTGGCCATGGCAGGGGGTGGAATGAGATGATCTTTAAGGTTTCTTCAACCCAAACCATTCCATGATGATCCTGTGGTCTGTTAGCAACTCCTCTGAGCAGTGCAGCCCAAAGCCATCACTGCAACCAACCCAAGAACCACCAATGAGAAGAACAAGGTAGAGACCAGGAGCTCTCATTAGCAGGCAAATAAAAAGACAAATTTCTCCAGAAAAAAAGATGTTAGAGTAAGAGGAGCACAAGAGGAGCTGGAGAATGGATGTGGGCCAGAGGCAGCACCTCATCCCTTCATGCTGGGCTGAGCTTCAGCTGATCAAACCCTGCTGATCAGATCCCCAGAGGAAGGTCAGTGACAGAAACTGCAGCTACCCTGTGCTTCTTGAGTGGCTTTCTCACTTCAAAAAAGCTGTTAATAAGTGAGATCTGCCCAGAATCCTTTTGGAGTGCATCTGAATTCTGTCAAATTCCACAGAACACATTTCAACCAGGACCAGGAATATTTCTTGGGGGATGTGTGCTGGAGGAAAGCATCCCCTTCCCAGCAGATGTCATAATGCCAAATTTCACACTGAAAACATTTCAGACAGAGGGTGACCCCTGGGAGATTTCAGTGACAGAACCTGGGAAATGGGAGTTGATTAAAGATGCAGTGAGAAGACACAAGAAAAACGAGGTGGTTTGCAGCAGAGCAAGACTGATATGCTTGAGTCAGCCTGGTGCCCATCAACCCAAACAGGATGTTGGAATGCCAGGGAACACCAGAGCTCATCCATTTCTTCTGCTGGCACCCCAAAATGCACTGTCATCTCTGTCACACTGGCTCTGACTCATGGAGCCGATTTTGTGTCCTCAGTGCCTGGCCCTGTTTCTGCTCTCGATGACACATGGGAATCTTTGGAATAATTCCTTTGGAGCCAAGCAGATTGCTGTGGATTAATGCCAAAGGCAGCAAACTGGCTCGTGATCCTTGACAGAGAGAGCACAGTCACAACGTCAGACCACGCTGTCACTCTTCCCTGTCACATGGAGCAATCTGGGTTTTTTTGTCACTTTTCAAGGGCTCAGAGTACCCATTGAAGGAGCCAAGAGCCACCATTTCATGGCATCATCATCCCTCTCAAAAGCCTTCCTAACAGAAGCTTCAAGGGCTGAACTGCATTAATTTACAAAATTAATTCAATTACAAAATAACCAGGGTCTTCCAGACTACCAGAAGCTCCTCAGCCCCCATAAGAACCAGCACAGACAATGGGAGCTGCAGATGAGCAGCAAGGATTGGTTACAGGGCTGGCCAGAATTGCTCCCTCACAGTGTTCCAGACCCACACATGGAGTAAAACACATCCCTCTATGCATTTTCCTTCCTTTTTAATGTTTTGGGGGGTGGGGTTTCCCTAATCAATAAAATAAAAAACTCAACCTCATGCTCAGAAACTTGAAAGCTTTGAAAAACCTCCTCTTCCCAGAGAGTCCATCCTACCAAAGAGGCTGCTGAAGGCCCCTCTTGTGCTTCAGGAAAGAAAGGCAGTGGGAGGAAAAGGAACATTCACTGCAATTTGGATCTCTGGAGCTCATGGCTCCTCTCTTTCAATGAAACTCTCTGCTGCTGAAAGTCTTCACACCACTCCTGAATGAAGTTTTGCCTGGACAGACTTATTAACACCTTTCTGGAAAAGAAGAGGAAAAAACCAATATGGGAGGCCCTGGAAAGGAGAAAGCCATGGAGAGGGATGGACTCACAAAGCCATGGTGAACGAACGTCAGGTCAGAAGTTTCTGGTACAAAAGGCTCTGCACTGTTATAAAAATGTGGGGTTTTCCAGCTACTTTTTCATAATGAAGAAATAGCACTAAAAATGCATCCCACCATATTCTCCAAGGGCACAAATGGACATCATTCCCCCAAAACCAGGAGAGACTGACTGGTCCATCACTGGGAAACAACATCATAAACATACGTTTATATATTAAAATATATAACATATAAATTTAATTACATTTTAATATATGTTTATATGCTAAATCTATATAAACCCACAAAAGGCAGGGCATAGTTCTGCAACATTCTCAATGCTGAATGGTTCTTTATCTCATAGACAAACCTATTTTTTATAGCTACAATTTATTTATATACATAACTGATTTTATATATGGTTTTATATATTTTCATATATAATTTTGAATATATTCATATATCTACATAAAAAAGCCACAAAGGTGGGCACATATTTGCAACCTTGAATGGGTCTTTATTTTACTATAATCATCTTATCCTGCCCTCCCTTAAAAAAAATGCCACCTTTGTGAAGGCACACAGCCATTCCTCTGCTAAGTTATTAAAATGAACATCAGAAATTATCCAGTAAAGGCAAGGATTTTAACCCTTCCAGCCCTGCCAGGCCTGAGTGGGTGTATTTATATATTCCAAGTGTTTCTGTTCCCTGGATCATCGACCGCAGCTCCTGCATAAAAATGCCAATCAATTTTTAGCACGGGCTCAGCGTGGCTTGATGCCATGCTCTTCATATGGCACCGAGCCCTTCCTAAGAGTCCTCCCTGTTCCACCTCCTCCCTCCTGCTCCAAAAAACCCCCCCATGAATCCAAACCTTCAAATCTTTCCAGCGACTGCAATGAAAGGGTGGTTTGGCAGCAGAAAAAAATATTGGCTGCGGGGGAGAACACATCATCACTCAAGTTCCAGTAGAGGCTGGGAGACTGGCACGGGGTGGGGGGAGCTATTTCAAGGGGTAGTGCCACCATAAATAAATAAATATTGACAGATCCTGCCAGGATCTGTTGGAAAGGGCAGGCAGGGAACACAGGGCACATTCAGGAGCCCGCGGAGATTATTTCGATGGAGCAGATTAAGTGTTGCCTGTACCTTTTTTATACATCTATCTTGGCTTTTCTGGGGCTGAGTCTGAACATGTTTGTACACAGGAGGACATTTGCCCAGTTTGGGTGAGTTCCAGGCATGTTTGCAGGATTGAAGGAATTATTTGGTGCCTGACAGCACAATTTTCCTTTCTCTGGAGTACCACGCTCACATCATCAACTACAACAACCAGAAGTGACCACCTACAGCTGGCTCCTGGGTGGGCAGTGGGAAAAACCCTCCCATCAGAAGGTCCCAAAGCAGGTCCCTCCAGCAGGAGCCAGAGAATAAAGGATCTGAGTGGCTCCTCCCCTCCTGGAAAATGCTCTGTTGAGAATCTCCATCTGTCTTAGTTAGAACCGTGGGTATGGCACCATTCCTGCAAAACATTTGCACCAGGAAGCAGCTTGACACATGGAGAAAGTTCCAAGTGAAGGGAAAAGCACGAAGTTAATTACCAGCAGGGCCTGACATTTAGAAAAGGACATTAAACAGGATTTTCAAACAAGATTTAGGCTTGCTTTTCAGCTTAAGTACTTGCAGCCAAACCCAAGATTTGAAAAGGTCTCCTCAGCCACCTGGCCCTGGAGTTCCCAACATTTTCTAACCTTTCCTTCTTCAACCTGAAACCACCACACCTCTGCTCCTGCTCTGCACATCCAGAACCGAGCAGGCAAACACTCTCCTCCTGCCAAAGCCCCTCCAAAGCCAGTAACAACAGAGCACAGGACTCTCCACCACCACCTCCAGAGGCAGCTGGAGCAACCTGAAAAACCCTACTCCCAAAACAAGGCTGGAAGCTTTGTCTTTAAAGCACTGGGAGAAAGGAACTCAGGAGCTCATCCACAGTAGCCTGATGGCCAGAGCTTCTCCCAGCTACTCCAAGTTTTTAGTGGGTCTAAGTCAACGTGCAGCCTCAGAGAGGAGAGTTTAGCACAAAGCTAAAGGCAGCTCTGGATGGGGACGTGTCTGAAAGAAATAAGGAGCCCCTGTGGCCAAGACAGCAGCCCACAAGTGAGGTCCTGCCTCTGCCCCCCAGCAATGAAGGAATTCCCCTGGCAGCAGAGGGTCCAAGATTTTGGCCCCATGTCCTGGGCATATTTCAAGAACCCGATGTAGAACAGCCATGCAGATGCCAAGGCAGGGAGTGGCACCATGTCCTGGCTCAGGCCAGGCGCGAGGGACGTGCCAAGCAAGGCCCAGGTGGCTCTGGTGAGCCTGGGAGGGTCCCCATGAGGGGGGCACACGTTACCTCTGCATCCTGGACATCCTGTGGAGCTCCATGTCGTCGCTGCCACGGAAGCCTTTGGCAAAGGGGTTGTTCTCAATCTTCAGCTGGGTGATCTGAAAGGGAGGAAACACACCAGGGTCATGGCCAGCCCAAGGCCTGGACAGAGGAGACAGTGGTTATTAAACCCAAGGCAGGCATGGGAGGGAAAATACAGCTTGCAGAAACTCCAGTCATCCCTCAGCTCAGGCAGTGGCCACTCCAGATGGGCCTTTCCCTGGAATGCTCCACAAGAAAAAATATCTCCTGTCAACAGCCTCTCGCTTCTCCCAGGCTTGTCCCATAGCTAACATGTGGGACTGCTCACACACATTTTTCTCTGGAGAAAATCTGCTTTCTGAGAGTTCTTACTTTCATTTTGCTGTTGGGAATGAAAGGGCTTCAACTGCTCAGAGAACCAGGGATGGGTCTGAACAAATCCCAAGTATTTTCTCACCAGTGCAGAGGCAAGACCAAAACCTCACCTCTCAGACCCTGCACCCTCTCTCCCAGCCCAGTGAATCTCACCCTTTGGCTGTTTCAGACCAGCTAAATGTGCTCCAGGTGCTCTGCATGTGCCATCCTGCCCCCCAGCTGGCAGCACTGCATGGACTCATTATCTAAATTACTTTGAGGGCAACTTCACCTGTGACCATCAAACCCAAGAGGATTTTTGTCTCCCCATCACTTCCAGTTTGCTCACTGAGTGAGCTACCTTGAGAGTCTAAAGTTTAGCCAGATTAATCCCCTCAGTCTCAACTTTGGTCCTCTTAAAACATCTAAATTTAACATTTAAACCAGCTTCTAGACAGACCATGCCCTTACCCAAAGAGACTGTGCTGCTCCCAGAGGTTCAATCCCCTCATGCACTACTTTTCCTGAGGGTTTTGGTGAGCAGGGCTTGTCATTTAAGCCAATATTCATTGTGGACCAGCAACACCCTCAGCTGCCCTGTGGATTTTGTAAAAACTCCCTCTGCCATGCCAAATCTGATGCAAGTGCTTTGGTGCCTTGGCAGAAGAGGACTGAGCCTGGACCAGGTGTGATATTGCTGCAAAGCCCCAAAATTTGGGCAGAAGAGGGGAAAGTTCCCTTTTTCCCTGTCTTTTTTCCATCACTGCCTGCTCTCAGCAAGGAATCAGGAGAAGCACTTGACCAGGAAGGAAGACAACCCCGTGTTTGCCACTGGAGGAGCTTCACTCTCTCACCACGTTTTATGGAAACCCCGTCCTTCCTTCCTACTGAGAGCTGGCCAAGGGGAAGGAAACAGCTCAGGATCAACGGAGGGAGAACAGAGAGAGGTTCATGCTCACCGAGTCAAGCACAAACAACCAGGCCCACCTCCCTGCCAAAATCCAAAGAGGAAAATCTGGCTCGCCCAGTGTCAATAGCAAACCTCGCCAGGTGTATGCACAACCAGATTATTTTGCTCTTTTCTTGTCTTTTTTGCATATTTTTTTTTCCAAGGGCCGCTTGTTTATTTGCCATTTTTGCCTCATTCAGCCCCAAACTTCTCACTGAGCCCCCCACCACACTTACACTTATCTCCACAGGCATTCCCATTAAATCAGGACCATACTTCAGCACATAAACAAGCCCTTGGCACTTTTGGCACTTTTTTTTTTGTCCCTCATTTCAGATTTCAAAGAGAAGGGTAAACAAACAATCTTTTGGGGTCAATTTGCCAGTTGAGCCATTCTCTAGCAATAAAACAGAGGTGCATTTTGTAATTAAAAGCCCTGAATTATTACACAACCAGCTATGTATTTTGCAAAGCAACTGCCTATCGGTTTGAAGGTGGTGACTCTTCTAGAATGAATAATAGGCATTATTCAACATTTTGAATGCTCCTGAAGCCCTGTAAATGTAGGAGTTGTCCTCCCTTGCCGACCCCAATGGCAATATTTGCTCACATAAGCGAAGTCCTTCAGTGAGTGAGGATTTACAGGATTGGCACCAGCACACAAAGGCACAAAGGGCCGGATTCATCCCAAGCTGACCGAAGGCATTTTAACCAAGGTGCCTGCACTGGGAGCCTCAGCTCCCTGCTGGAATCAAGGGAGAGACATGGGGACTGCCAGAGGGCTCTGGGGTGGGTGGCAGTGCCTTCACAGGTCCCCAGTGCACTCTGGTCACTGGAGGAGGAGCCAGCAGTGCTCCAGCCCCTTGTTTAAGCCCCTCAGTTGAATGCCCCGTTTGATTCTTCAAGCTTTTAATGACCCATGAAATAGCAGCCAAAATATCAGAAAGGGACCTCAATATTGCAAATCTGGTGATTTAGGAGAAGTCCCCTAACCCACACGAGGAACACACTTACAAACAAAGGTGTTGGTGCTGGTGGCCAAAAGCCCTAAGAGAATCACAGCCAACTTCAGCCTCCCTAAAATTAAGGATCTGCTGGATTGAAGGCATCTGATAACCAGGGACTACAGGTTTAGAATTAATTCTCAGACCTTTGGTGTCCTTCAGATGGATTGGAGCTCCCAGAACAAAGTTTCCCCAGGTGACACCTCATGACATCAGCCACAACAAAGCCAGAAGAGCCCAAGCCAGATTTAACAAAGCTGTACACAACAAACTAGAAAACAGAGAAAATGTTGGTGAATCCCTGCTTTAACAAACAACCTGTGGAAGATATTTCATTTGGCCACTTTTTTTGCCTGACTTCCAAACGATTCCAGAGGTGGAAAAGCAAACTCAGAGGTGGAAATAACCTTCTTCTGGATCAGCTTTGCCACAGCAAAACTGAGTTTAATTGACTGTAACTCACGAGGGGCAGGGGGAAAGAAAAGCTGTCAGAAAGTCAAATGACAATTGCCTCATGAAAAATAAAACAGGATACAACGTCCTGCGAGGTCATTAAGACAGAGTGCCCAGGGCTGAATTGTACAGCACAGGTTCAATAAAACTGAAGGGCTTTGTTTGTGTGTTTGTTACTGACGGCAGAGCTTCGCTGGTTCTGAAGCTGCCACAGACCCTTGGAGAGCAGAGCTTTGCAGGGTGAAGCCTCCCAGGTTTCTGCTTTTCAGGTCTTGTCTGACCTATGGGTTCATCTTCACTTTAATGGGAAGTGACAGTTCCCAATGGAATTGGGAATCCCAAAGGAATCCCTGGGCTGCTCCCCTGCACTCCTTTCTCTGGGCTAATTGGCCACAAAGCTCTTCTGCTGAGACCTTCCCAACAGCAGCCTTAGCTCCAGCATGACAAAATTTAGCTTTGCATTGAGTTGGGTCGAGGAAAGATGCTTTGCTTCTTTTTCCTTTTCCACAGACATGTGGGATTTGTGCCTAAGGGCTCACGAATATCATTATGGCCAAAATCAAAACTACCATTTTGTATTATTCTTTATCAATAACTTAATCAAAACTCAATTGTTTCTCACTTTAGAAGCTGTAACAAAGTTAAAACTTTGTTAGAGGGGATGTGCTCCACACCAGGTGCTGCAGGCTCTATTTTATTTACAAATTTTGCTATCAACTTCTTTTTTTTAAGCACTTAAGCTAAGGGAAAACCATACATCCTGATCTTTGTGGGCTCCTCTGAAACTAAGAAGGGTTGGGCATTCTGGAAAAGGAATGTTCTGCAAGGAATGTGAATTATTAATTTCTGAATTCTCACTCAGGTCTACTTGGAGAACTTAAAACTGATGGGGGGGGGGGGGGGGAGGAAATCACCATTTAGTGATGAAGAGGTGCAGGTGAACACCCTTGAGAGTGCAGAGCACTCATGGTCCTCCCCTCTCCATAAGGATCCATTTCTCCCTGGCCTGCAGGTGCCTGTGGTCCTGCTCAGGGTGACAGAGAGGGACCTGGAGCAGCTGTGCCACCACTGGAGCTGGCAGTGCTGGGAGCCACGGGAGGCTCCCCTGGGGTGGGGAGCACAGAGACTTCTTCTGCCTGGCTCTCACATAGCCCAGATGGGAACCAAGGCAGGATGGAGGAGGAAGCAAGACCAGACGAGGGGGAGGAGAGAAACAGATGCAGACAAGGTGGCTGCTGAGCCCAGGGAGATGTGGGCCAAGCAGAGGGCCTGGATGGGGAGCTGGGACTCAGAGCCCCAGGTAAAGGCCAGTAGAAGGATGGGGGGAGTTGCTGGCAGAGGGGAGAAGATGCTGAACCCAAAGGCAGTGAAGGAAATGGGGGGGACTGGGAGGCTGGTTGGAGGTACTGGGGTGAGGCAGAGGGGCTCAGTGAGGAGGCTGCTGCCTGAACCGAGGCACAAGGACCAAGGATGGGAAGAGAGACCTGGCACGGAGTTTTGGGGGAAGGACATGAGGCTGCAGGCAGGATGGATGCCAGATCCAGTGGGGCTCTTGGCCAAGCTTGAGGAGAGGGGCTGCTTTGGGCACCAAAAGGGTCCAGGGGCTCAGGGCTGGCTGAGCACCCCATCCCAGGGCTGGCAGGGAGCAGGGACAAGACTGTGGACAGAAGAGGCTGGTTCAGCCAGAGTTGTGAAGGGCATGAGACCCCTGGAAGGAAGCACTGTCCCACCAAGGTCTGGAACAGCAGTAAGGATCATGAGGAGCCCCAGAGAGGGTCAGGGAGAGAGCAGCAGCTCCCTGCCATCCTCAGGTGCCCCAGGGCTGCACAGAAGCCACCAGGTCTGGTGATGAAGAGGAGCTACTTGTCTCACCTTGCTTAGCCCCAGGGAGCTCTGCCTCTCCCAGCACTTGGGGGACCCCTCTTTGGAGAAGAGTCTGCCCTGGGCAAGGAGAGGGGCTGTCCCCTCTTGCCAGCCAGATGGAGAAAGACAGGGACAATGACCCCAGGCAGGGCAGGGTGGCCTCTGCTGAAGTGGTGGAGGTGACCACCTGCAACCTAAGACAGGGAAAATGGAGCTCGCAGGAGAAAACACCCCACCCCAAGGACCTGCCCACCTCCAGCCCTCAAAGACAGAGACAAGAAGCCACGTGCTCAGAGGGGACAGGCAGCTCTCCAGAACTCCATGGAATGGAGAACCAGCTGACTCACCAGCATGATTTTAGCACTGGGTCTTTTTAGGGGAAGGATGAAACTTTCTATTCAGAAATCCCAACAGATATCTGTCAGTGAATCCAGTCTTTGGCCATGCCCTGCCGTGCTCCTCCCTGGAGCACACAACATTTCTGGGTGTCTGTAACATCCCAGCTGGGGCTAATGTTTCCTTAAAAGAACTTTGGCTACCAAGAATGTTAAATAACTTAGGGTGGGGGGAAAAAAATCAGCATAAAACCGGATATCCTGAGGAGGGGGAACCAATATAAAGTCCAAGTCCAGCTAAGGGGGAAAAGTAGGTTGTAAAAATTAATGAGAATAATTGTTGTGAATTCTTGCTTTTGAAAGAACCCTCGTGAGGGCAGAACCTTAATTATTTCTGTCTATTAGGTTCATTTCCTGGTCCTAAGCAGAGAGCTCATACCTAATAAATACGAGCCAGTAACACAATGATTTAAGCTACAGCAAAATGGTGCTTAACTGCAGGGAAAGTTAATATTTGGGAATCAACCTGATTGCAAGCACCCATTGTGTAAATGGCAAGGAAATGAAATGTGCATGTGACCTTTTTTAACACCTCGATATTTCTGGGGTGTTTTTCAGGATAGCAGAGAGGGGGGAGGTGACCAATGGAGCTGCTGACAACTGCCCTGAAAACTTCACCAAAACTCTCTTCATAGCTTAAGCCTCTTTTTGGGGAGTAGGGCTGAGGAGAGGGAGATCCCAGGGTGCTTAAATATCTTTTCAGGCTGTCTAAAATATCAGGGGAAATAAGCACAAGCCCTACATTGGGATTGCAGCTGTGCTCTTGAAATAAATTGACCTATCTGGAAGCAGGCAGGTATTTCTATAAGCTGTGGAAGCATGGACTTAAATGCATTTTGGGGTGGGTCACACAATTCATTCTGTAAGAGAATTCAGCTCGAACAGAGCTCTTGAAACCTAAACCCCATGCAGGGATGAATTTGTGTGTGTGTGTGTAAAATGCACACATATTTACAACTCTGTGTAAAGTATGTCAGAGGCTGGGTGAGGTGGATGGGAAATACTGCATGAGGGATGAGCTACAGGTGAGGGGTGAAGGTGAGAGAGAAAAATGGGAAAGAAATTAGCAGTGCACTGACAGCAAGAACTGGGGATGCCCCACATGTGGGGGGCTGCCATCCTTTATGGCTGGGGGAAATGCAGCCTGTGCTACAAGAGGAAAATCTGGTTTTCCAAGCAACACCTCAGCTGTGAAAGCTGAGCTCGGGTTTCAGCTGGTGGAAAAGACCCCAACTCAGTTTCAGCCACCTCAGCTGGAGGATGTTTCTCCCTGGCATTTGCATCAACCCCAATATCATTCCCTGTCTGCACTGGGGTGAGCTGCAGCTTTTATTCCCTTCCCTGCAGGGAGATGCCATTCAGGGAAGATCATCCCCTGGTTTCTTTTTATGGCTCAATCTTTTCCAATTGGGATTTTATCTTGGGGCTACAGCCACTCTTCCCCTGTTTCCCCCCTGACTGCAAGCAGCACTGGGAGGAATGTGTGTGTCAGGGGGCAGAGGGATGTCAGAGCCTGTAAAACGTGTCAGGGGTGTGTAAAATGTGTCCTGGTGTGTCTGTGGGAATTCCTGCGTGTGTCAGATACACAGATGTCATTTCTTATCACACAGATGTTGCTGATTTACAATCAAATATTCCTGCTCCTCCTAGCATGGCAGTTTTCCCAAACTACTGTACTTACATGTTCCTGCTTTGCTTTCGTTTTATTTGCATGATCATTTCTTTTCCTATAAACCAGCCCCGTTTTTCTTCAAAGGAGAGCAGTTCCATTCACGTCTGTTTTCTGCTCGGGAAATGCCTTTAAAGCAGGCAGTGTGTCCTGTTTTATTAACTCCCACTTCTATTAATATTATATTCTTTCTGCAAATCCATCAAGCAGAAGTTAAACTTGATTTTATAGCATCCACAGTGGAGTTATAATTTAAGGCATAATTTGGCAAGGACTCAATTTGGATTCTGTTTGCTTGTCCCAGCCGTGCCAGCAGCTCCTATTTTAAAGGGCAGGGAAGTATTTTCCTTTCTCCCTAGTTATGGTGGAACACTCTTTCTTCTCCAGCCCAGCTCTGCTCTCTGCATCTTGCTGGTCAGCTGCTGGATGGAGGAAATGCAATAATTTCACACAGGTTTAGGAACCTGCATTTCCAGGAAAGCATCCAGGATTTTTTTGGGGTGCTAAAAGACTTTTCTCTGTTCAAGAAATTGGGTACAAAGGAACCATCCTACCTGCCTGTAAGCACAGGTTTATAGTGAGTGCTTTTTATGTGATTAGGAGAGGAATTTGCTTTTTTGCTGAAAGAAATTGAGTTTTCATGGGGCTGTGGCAAGGGACAGTTGGTGAAAGACATCCCTGTGGAGAACCACCCTGCCTGCAACACTCAGCCTTCCTCCTCCTCCTCCTCCCTGCTGGGTGGGGAAGCCAAACCCCAAGCAGGGAAGGAGCGGGAGCAGCGGGCTCCTCACAGAGGGGCAACGACAGCACCAAGAAAACCCTTATTCCGCCCAACCCTTTTCTACTCCAGCAGAAGACAAACCCATCCCGTTATTTTCGTGCTTTGTTTGCCTGATCTCGGGAGCTGAGCCTCCCTTTCCTGGCCGGGCCTCCCGGCTGCCAAGCCCGCAGCCCCCCGTGGGCAGCCGGGTTATCAGCGCCCGGCCGCGGAGGGGAGCGCCCGGCTCCCTCCTCCAGATTAGGAGCCTTTGACCCATGGGGAGGGGGGAAGATAAAGCAAACTTCCTCGGTTGGTCGTCTCCATGTGAGCAAAGCATCCTGGTGAGCTCATTCCCCCTCCCCGGCTCGCCCCGAGCCCGGCTTTGGATGCTTTGTGTGGCCAGGAATAACAGAAGGGATGGGATGGGGATGGGAGAGAGGAAAGGGGAAGGGAGAGGAGGGAGAAGGGAGGAGGAAAATGGGCAAGGGAAATGAAAGGACAAGAAGAAAGGACAAGGAGAGGAAAAAGAAGGGGACAAGGAGAGGAAGAAAAGGGGAAGAGAAAGAAGGAAGGAAAGGAAAAATACAGGGAGGGGAGAGGAGAAGAAAGGCTAAGGGGAAGAGCAGAAGAAACGGAAGGAAACAAAGAGAAGGAAAAGAAGGGGGAAAGGAAGTGGAGAAGGGGAAGGCAGAGGAAAAAGGAGGGGGAAAGGAGAGAGAAGGAAAGGAAAAGTACAGGGAGGGGAGAGGAGAAGAAGAAAGGACAAGGGGGAAAGGAGAAGATAAGGAAGGAGGAAAAGAGAAGAAAAAGAAGAGGGAAAGGAAATAGAGAAGGGGAAAGGAGAGGGAAGGAAAGAAAAAGGAGAAGGAAAGAAGGAGTGGAAAGAAAAAGAAGGGCTGAAAGAAGAAGCAGGGAGGGAAGAGGGGCTGAGTCTCTCAGGAAGAGCAGCGGGAAGAGGCGAGGAGCGGGATGCGGTTTGCGGGGCCGGCCCAGCCCCTCACCTTGTGGTTTTGGTAGGAGGTGACGGCGATGAAGGCGGTCTCCGGGAAGACGTGGGTGCAGAAGGCGGTGTTCTTGGAGCCGAAACCGTTGTTCTCGTCCGCTTTCACGATGTGGAGCCGGGGCTGGTATTTGTGCATGGAGTTCAGGATGATCTGGGCAGAGGAGAAGGAGAGAACATCCCATGGGAATGGAGGGGGCACAGCACGGCGCATCCCCCCCTTCCCACGGGAGGAGGACACACACCAGCAGGAACCCGCAGCCCCTTCCCCAAAATGTTTGCCCTTTTCAGGAGCCCCTTGGAGGGGCAGATGGAGGTGCTGGGGTAGGGGCACGGATCTCTGCACAAACTCGCCCGGGAGCCCAGCAGGGCCGGGTGCTGTCAAAGGCGCTCCCTCACCTGCTGCCCCCTCCCCAGCCCTGCTCCGTCCATACAAACCCCTGGGGGGCCAGATCTGCTCCCCCAACTCGTGATGGGGGCAAATGGGGGCATCTCAACACCCCCATCCCATCGCAGGGGGGTAAAGAGTGAAGAAAGGGCGAGGGAAGAGATCTGGAGGGATTCGGAGCTTTGGGGACATCCCTCCCGCCAGCCACCCGCAGAGGACGGTGGCGGAGCCGGGAGGGGCTGTCGCGGTGCTCCAGATAAAAAGCGGGCCCTGCTCGGTACCGGGTTAATCCCGGGGGAGATGGGGGGCGGCGGCGGCGGCGGGGGGCCGCTCGGGCCCGATAATGACTGCCGGACCCTGGCGACAGCGAGACGCAGCGCGTCCCGCCGCCGCCTCCCCCGTCCCGGGGGTTTAAGCAAATTGCTTTGACATCCAGGAAAGTCGTAGACATCAACGGTGAACGATCTAATGGTTTTTAATTTCATTACAGCGACTCTAATTGAGAGGCTCCTGGCGCAGCTCCTCCTCTGAAGTCCCTCATTGTCCCCTCAGCGTCTTGGGTTTGTTTGGAGGGACTTTTTCCCCAGAGCCGCCTGTTCCCAGCGGGGATGCCTGGCCCCTTCCCCCCGGGCCGGATCCCCCCCTTCTCCCCAAAAGCACCCCGGGGGTGGGATGGGTTCCCCCGGCTGCGCTGCTCCCCTCCCTCTTCCCGCAGGAAAGGTCCTGATCCGTGGGAAACAGCTCTTGCAAACCCCTTCTGCACCAGCTCAATTAGAATTAAAATAAAATTCGAATTATAAAAAGAAAAAGGAAATCAACCGCCGCAAATGGAGGTGCAAAGGAGAGCTTGTAAATGATGCTCAGCATTGGGGTGGGATGGGGACTCTGCTGCCTCCTCTCCCCTAAAGCCTTCTCACTTCTTGGCTACCACGTGGGCGAGGATTTAATAGCAAAAAATTTATCATTAAAAAGCGAAGAAGAAGAAAAAAAAACAGCTTGGAAAAAATGAAACTGAAGTGTTGAAACGAGACTGGAGAAAAATCCACTCTTGGAAAGGGCTGGCGGGATCTGGAGTCACATATTCGTTCAATTATATATTATATATATATATATGTACATATATATATTTTATTCTTACATGCATATATATATTTGCTCAGAGGAACTCGCATCTTTGGAGACCTTCGAAGGAGGGCTGTTCCTGGCTGCAGAATTCACACAAATTTTCACGGCCCCACGAGTCTCGCAAAAACTTTTTTAATGCCCTAGAAGTTCTAGCGGGACTTCAAGTTCTCTAATTGTCTTTAATTATTGTTAGGAGGGCTGTTCCTGGCTGCAGAATTCACACAAATTTTCACGGCCCCACGAGTCTCGCAAAAACTTTTTTAATGCCCTAGAAGTTCTAGCGGGATTCAAGTTCTCTAATTGTCTTAAATTATTGTTACTTTTCCTTTTTTTTTTTCTTTTTTTTTTTTTTTTCCTTCTTCTGATCGAGGGATCCACATCGTTTTAGGTCCTATTTCCTCCGCTAATTATGCCTGATTGATTTTACCTGTTAGGCAAATTCCCGGAGGCAGCGAGCGGATTTTAACGACTGGGGACTCGCCATGCGATTAAAATTTGGGGTGACCAAATACTCAGTCAAGCCAGGAGAGTTTCACCCATTCGCCAACTCCAGGTCCCGGGGGTCTGTCATCAATTCCCACGAAACAACCCGGTTTTAAGGTTTATGCTTCTATTTTTGGAGGGGTTCATCCCGCTCTCTCAGGGGTGAAACAACACCCCAGCAGCCCTGGATTTGAGGGTGGGTGACACTGGCACGCTCTCGGTGGCAGAGGACACCCACCGTGGGTGCTGGACAGCACGATGCCCTTGTCCCAGCCCCGGTACTTACATGTCCGAAGGGATCCAGGTGGTTGTTGGTGAGTTTGAGCTTCTGGAAGGAAACCAGCTGCCTCATCCAGTGCGCTCCGGTAGCGGGGGAATCGGGGTGCACGTACAGCCTGCCGGGCATGGCCGGCTCTGCCTTGCCTGTCACCGACCTGCGTGGGACACGGGGCTGAGCTGCGGCCGCCTGGGGACGTCCCGTGGGCTCCTGCTCCCGTCCATCCCCTCCCGTGGGCTCCTGCTCCCGTCCATCCCTTCCTGGGCTTCTGCTCCCGTCCATCCCCTCCCGTGGGCTCCTGCTCCCCGTCCATCCCTTCCTGGGCTTCTGCTCCCCGTCCGTCCCCTCTTGGGGCTCCTGCTCCCCAGCCGTAGCCCCCCGTGGGTTCCTGCTCCCCGGCCATCCCCTCTTGGGGTTCCTGCTCCCTTCCATCCCTTCCTGGGCTTCTGCTCCCCGTCCGTCCCCTCTTGCGGTTCCTGCTCCCCAACCATCTCCTCTTGGGGGCTCCTGCTCCCCAGCCGTAGCCCCCCGTGGGCTCCTGGTCCCTTCCGTCCCTTCCTGGTGTTCCTGCTCCCCGTCCGTCCCCTCTTGGGGCTCCTGCTCCCCAGCCGTAGCCCCCCTTGGACTTCTGCTCCCTTCCGTCCATTCCTGGGGTTCCTGCTCCCTTCCATCCCTTCCTGGGGCTCCTCCCGTGGGTTCCAGCTGCCCCTTCGTCCCCTCCCAGCCAGGTACCCCGTGCCGGGGAGAAAAGGCATTTCCAGCACGGCTGGCTCGGGGAATTGCTGAGCTCTTTGGCACCTTTCCCGTCGGAGATGGCTCTCGCCGCTCGCCCGTTTAACCCCATCCTTCCCCTTTCCCTAATTAACGGCCCGGAGCAAAGAATCGATCCTTAAAGATTTTCCTGCCCGGCGATATTTCCTTCCTTAATATAATTAAACCATCAGTTCCACAATAGCAAATAATCTCATTGTCAAACAGGATTCGTTAATTGCGACAAAATTCCTGCGGTTTTTCCCCTTTTTTTGGATGCATTTCTCTCCCAGGGGCTGTGGGAACACCCCACTACTCCCAGGTGAGCCTCCTGCAGCCCAGCATTTTGCACGGAAAAAGAAGGACTAGCCGCTGATTGAAGGATTTGTCCCCCCCGGGCAGCCCGGAGGTCTCGTCCCTCTCCCCCACGCGTGCCTACCATTTATTATCCGCGAATTTGTATCTGTGGTCATCCGCCGGTACAATATCCATCAACAGGATGTACTTCGTCTTTGGATTGAGTCCAGTGACCTTCACTTTGTAACTGGGGAACATTCGCCTGTTGAATAAATAAATAAATAATTAAATAAAAACAAAGTTTGCCAAGGTGGTTTCGTGTGCGTGTGCGAGGAGGAGACATTGGGGGGAACATTTAACAAAAGGGTTAAACCACGTTCCCAGGTGGATCTTCCCCGGCATGTGGGACAAGTTTGGGTGGTGCTGGGTCCCATCCGAGGCGAACCGGGTGATTTATCAAAGCAAAATCGGAATTTCGAGGCTGGCGGGTTTGTTTATTCACCTCCTCGTGTGTCTGCTCGTCTATTTGTATTTATACTAATTATTTATTTCACTGAAGTTTTGAATCTTCGTTTTTTGAACAAATCTGCGCGTGAGAACTTTTGGAAGCAAGTTACTTTCCTCTCTCCATAAACAGCTGGAACAGGAGAGGAAATTTGCCAAAAAAAGTTTTATTTTAAAAGTTATAATATAGATACTCCTATAAAAATTATATTTATATATCTTTCTATAAATGTATATATTTATAGAAATATGTTCTCATGTATTACATATGTAGAAATAGAAACATTTTAAAATACATTTATGTGAACACCTTGAGGTTCTAGGAACAGATGCGGAGCAAAAAACCTGCACGCACTCAGGTGGAAGAGAAAATCCGTGACCAGCTCTGCGATCAGCCCGAGACAGCAGCAAACACACCTGACAAATCCCTGGAAACCCTCGGATACACACAAGGCAGGGGCTTTTCGAAATATTTTCCATTACTGCAAGGCAGGCACTTAAACCACGCTGTTATTTTAGTTCGAGCTTTCCAAATATTTAAAAATAAAGCAGATGAAAATGGAGCCCTGGACTTAAAACACACATAAACAACCATAAAAAAAAAAAAATCCAAAAAGAAAAAGTCCCACACCTCTAAAAATACCGCGCTCTTCTCCGAGGCTCGGGATCCTGCCTGGGCTGGGCTTTAATTCGATTCTAAAAAGTTGAAGGGGGACGAAAAGCGCCCAACGAAGGAAGCGGGTGTTGAACTTTAAATTTTAAGGGAGAATAAACCAAATTCCACCTGGAGACTAATCTGTAACTCCTTGGAAAGCACCTGAGCAGCCGGACCAGGGATTTCAACAAGAACGGCGGGCAATGATACAAATAAGGAAACCTAGCCCGCATCTCCCCTCGAGCCCCTGCCTGTAAACGTCTCTTTTATTCTTTTATTGCTCTCCGGATGAGATCTCTGTCCACAGAGATTTTGGTTTGAAATTTCTCCAAGGTGGTTTCTGTCTCCCCTCGAGAGTTGGATTTTTTTTTTTTTTTTTGGTCCCTGTAAACCGGATTTTTTCGGGAGGTCCCATCACCGACTCCATCCCATGTCCCCTTGGCCACAAACCCCTTTCAAATCCATTTTCGCAGCAGCGAGGTTCAAGGGGAAGGTGAGATCTATTCACTAAAACTTTATCCAACCAGCTCGATATTTATTCCCCCCCCCCCCCCCCCCCCGATTAGGCAAATTTTGGAAGACCACAACAAATACCAGCTGACTGAGCAAAATGAAAGTTTGGTTCTGCCTTGTTGATTGTGTCCCTACAATCTGAAACTGTTCCTACACGTGGAGGCTTTTTCCCTTTTCCTCCAAGGATTCTAATTGAAAAAACCACAACGAAAAATCCTCCCTGGGGCTGCCCCCAATTTGTTGCTAGGACTGGAGAGACTTTTTTACTGCGTCTCGCTGGCCACTCTTCAATTTAATAACCCTCCACCACGTTAATATCCAGGATAATGTTAAATCCCCTCAAAAACACCCGCGTCCACATATAAATATCTGCGGATCAGGTTTACACAGCCGCTCATGGAACAGATTAGAACCCCAATAAAGTTGGATTTGCAAGGCTGCATATTTTTCCGCACACCCACGCAGATAAACACCCGCATAGAAATACATCCACATGATATTTATTTGCGGACGCATCTATCTCTGCATCTAAACAGCTTTGTTATCTCTCTATAAACAGTAGCTTAAGACCGCCTAGACTTTTAAAAGGGGTGAAGTGGCTGAGATGGGAATATTCTCTCCAGAGTGAGCAAAAATAAATAAAAAACTCTGTAAAACGGCATAAAACTTTGGGGGAGGGGGGAGCAGGAGAACCAAAGTGCTACAATAATAATAATAATAATAATAATAATAATAATAATAATAATAATAATAATAATAATAATAATAATAATGATAATAATAATGGCCCACGGAGCTGCTCTAAACAAAGTTTGCTTTTTGGCCAAGTGGTTGCAACTCGCGTTCGCCTGGAAAGTTTCCAAAGGCCTGAAGTCGGAATTAATGACCCAACTGTTCTGGTTAAGAAAGAAGCCAGAAGAAACAATTTCTGCCGCCTCTCTCCGGGCAGGGAGGGCTCTCCACGGCCGGCCAGTGGCACACACACACACACGGGGGGCTCGGACACGAGAGCTGTGACCGTCCCCGTGCCAGGGAGGTGCCCGGTGTCCCCCGTCCAGGCGGGTGTGTCCCCCCGTCCCCGCAAACACGGAGGGGACCGCGGAGCCCCCCTGCTCTTACCTCCCGGCCTTTGTTATGATCATCTCCGTGCCCACCTCGTGGAACTTCAGCCACAGCTCGCGTTCGTGCAAAAACACCTTGATGCCCTCCATGCCCTGCGGAGCGGGGAGGCACAGAGCGTCAGCCCCGAGGGGACTGGGACAGCCCCGAGGGGAGCGGGGACAGCCCCGAGGGGACTGGGACAGCCCCGAGAGCAGCGGGGACAGCCCCGAGGGCAGCGGGGACAGCCCCGAGGGCGGCGGGGACAGCCCCGCCAGGGCAGCCGGGCCCCGCACGGCCTCGCCGGGAAGCTCGCCGGGGAAGGGCCGGGCTCTGCGGGCCGGAGCTCGGGGCATTCCCGGGATAACCCCGGCCAGAGGGGTTTCCAGGCCGGGGATGCTGTTGGGGCAGGCCTGGAGCGGAGTCCTGCGGGCCGCGGGACTCGTGGGACGGGGGGCGAGGGCAGGGAGCCCCCGGAGCCGGCTCCAACAGCATCCTCCCAGAGAAATGCCCCGGCTGCTCCCAGAGCCAAGCGGAGGAGATTTGCACCGTCCCACGGGTGATCCACAGGCTCGAGCGGCGCGGGGTGTCACCCTGCTCCCCTCGCCCTCTGATTTTCTGTTCCCACCCAAGAGCTGCGAGCCCTGCGGTTGGGGCAGCACATCCCTCCACCCGGGCTGGGGGACACAGGGGACACCCCCAGCCGAACCAAGCGCTTCTCCCCCTCACTAAAAAAGCCCCGTCCAACTTTGGGGTTCGCTTTCCAAACACCCCCGGTGCCCCGGTGCCCACCCTGGCCCTGCCGAGCCTTCTGCCACACCCGTGGGCAGCGGGGTCCATGGGGGTACCTGCCGGGGGACCCTACAGTCGGGACCGAGGTGGAAAATCTCCTTTCCCCGCATTTCTCCCCTCCCGGGGCTGGGAGCTCCCAGCACGGGGAGAAGCCGAGGGGTGGCTCGGAGCACGGAGATCCCGCACGGAGCCCACGCGTGTTCCGGCACACGCAGTGCCAGGGGGGCGAGGGCTGAGGGAGGGCATCGGGGACACCCCAAGTGTCGCTCTGGGGGTGGCTCAGCCTGCGCTGAGTGCCCGCTGGGGGTGCGGGGTGCGGCTGTGCCCGGGTGTGCAAGGGGCGCACAGATGTGGATATGTACAAAATATATACATTTATATACAGATATAAGGGCATCTCCGCTCCGTGGGTGCTCGCCCGTGCATTTTTCCACTCGGGAGCGGACACCGGTGGGTGTGGGGGTGCCGCTGCAGGGCGAGCTCCCCTCGTTGTGTTTTGGGGTCCTGCTCCCCTCCTGCTCCTCCACACCCCCAAAACTCTCAGGGCCGCATCCCCGCAGTTTTGGCGCTTGAGCACGGCCTGGAATAACAGGGCAGCAGGCCGAGCCCCACGGGCAGGTGAGGCTTTGCCCTCGCGTGGGGGCTCAACTCACCCAACCAGGCGGCTGGGGCGGGGGCGAACGTGGGGAAAAGGGGCAGATGGGCGAATGAACAGGGACGGGGAGCGGCGTGGGTGCTTACCTGCTGGGTGAAGGCTGCTTGCGGTGAGGTGGGCGACTTGCTGCTGGCCCCCAGCTGCGTGTCCTGCTTGCCTTCGGCCTGCAGCTCCTTGGCCTCCGGATCCGCCGGCGTGCTGGGCAGCCCGAAGCCTTCCTCGCCATCCGCCATGTTACGAGCTTCCTTCGCCGAATCCCCCACTGCAGGCACACATCGGAGAGAGCACAGATAAGAGACGCACGAGTCAATGCTGACGTTTAATAAAAGATCGATTTGGGTCGGGCGGGGTGGCTCCGAGCGCCGGCCGGGGCTGCCCCGACCATCCCAACACTCACTTCCAGCTGCCCAGGAAGGGAGCAAGGCCCTTTAACTTTGGCAGAGGGAGAAATAAAGACTTTTATTTATTATCGCAGCCCGCAAGGGATGATAGGATTTGGGGGGGGCTCGGGGGGGTGGGGAGGGAGGGGAAGGGGGAGGCGGTATTATTGAATGCATCTTTTGGAAAAGGTAAACAGCGCGTTTTAGGGCTGCCTGGCAGCGCGAGGGGAGCGAGGCACCCGAGGGGCTGTGGAACGAGCAGCTCGTGGCACAAATGACTCTGGAGGTCCGGGGATTCGAGGTGGGGGCTCCAGAGCCCCCCCCGGGGCTCGGCCACCTCCAGTTCCTCCGGCTCGCTGCGGCCCGGGGGGTTGAAAGTCCCAACTTTCCTCCCAGGGAAGGGGAAGCTTTCACCCCGCTCCGGTTTGGAGCAGGAAAACACCACTGACACACGAGGCCACTTCTAGCACCCAATTGCCAAGGAAAACTCAACTTCTTGCACCTCTTCTAAAACAGGAAAAATGTTAAAAGCCTGTTCTTCTCTTACCCCGGGCATTTACAAGAAAAGCAAAGGATGGACGAGAAAATTACAATATAAAAGTGCAAATAAATCAATCGGACAAACGCTGTGCGAGGTAACGAGGACTCGGGCTGGTGAACGGGGGGTGGAATCGGGGCTGGAGTGAACGAAGTCAGAACATTTAGGATAAAACTGCACCAGCAGAGAAAACGAGCTTAAAAATGACAAGGTTTATATCTGATGTGAGTAACCGCAGTGAGCTTTAAAACTGTATTTTGACTTAGCTTTAAAGGCTCTATCAGGAATGGTAAAATTTCATAGCAACACACACACACACACAAAAAAAAAAAAAAAAAAAAAAAAAGGAAGAAAAGAAAAGAAAAAGCCCACCAAAAAAGATAAAAGCCATTGAATTATCTGTTAGGTTTTTATTGTTCTTAAGGAGTTGGGAGTTTTAGCTGCTTTAAAAAAAATATTTCTTGCATGTCTCAAAGAAGGGGATTCAGTTTTGAAAGGCCAACCATATGGAGGCAATATTGGGTTTAAATACATGAGAATGTTTTTAAATGGGTTCTTCGCCCTGCAACGATATTTGAAAGCTGTTCAAAATAGAGCAGAGAGAGGGAGAAAAAGACAATTCTCCTTTAAAAGCGAAGGAAAATTGGGAGTGGAAAGGAGGGGGCAGAAAATGATCTTCCCGCTGGTGGCGGGTAACGCACACAAGGACGGATTTATAATTTAAAAGGACAAAAAGCGAGGGGACTCCAGGTCCGCACCTCTGGAGCTGCAGCTCGTGCAGGCACGGCCCGTGCCCGGTCCCTCCCTCCTTCCCTCTCTTCCCAAAGGTTTTTTTTCCCAGCTCGCACCCGCCGCAGACCCAAGGGCGAAGCGAAAGCGCGGAAAGTGCGCGGGGCGCTGCGGGAGCCGCTGCGCCGGGCCCGGGCCCAGCCCGTGGGGGCAGAGCCGCAGCTCCAGGGACCATTTAAGGCTTTTCTCTTCCCCTCCTCCTCCTTTTTTTTTTTTTTTTTTTTTTTTTTTTTTTTTTTTTTTTTTTTTTGTCCTTGGGAAGTGCTGCTTATGCATTTTATAATCGATTTCCCTCCAGCTTGGAGCTGATTCCCCTAGAGCAGGCAAGGTTAGGGGGTAGAGCGAGGGAACATAATAATAAAAACCCTAAAGCATGTTTATTAAAACAAAGAGGGACCCGGCCATGGCAGCCCAGCCCAGCGGAGCCTCCTCGATGCTCTCCGCGCCCAGACATAAATAAGCAGATATAAAAATATTCATCATTTTAAAAACAGAGGGTGTGACGACAAAAAATAACCCCACAACTAAGAGCATTTGGCGATCCGTGGCTTCTAATTTTTTTTTTCTTTTTTCTTTTTTTTTTTCCCCTTAAAAGAGCTTCTGAGAAGAAATGGAGCTTGACAGAACCAGGCCGCGGTGGCTGGATGAAAAATGCATCTCGCTTTGCTAAAGTAGCGCCGAGTGGGTTTGCGAGAGGAAAAAACACAAGGTGTGGGGGAGAATTTGAAAAAATAAAATAAAATAAAATAAAATCACCACCCTCTGCTTTTGTTCCGGCTTCGCCCCGGGCCCCCCCAGCCCCCGCTGCTCTCCCCGAGGCCTCGCAGCCCCGGTGCCGCTCTGGCTGTGCACAGCTCACCACCCGCACACACGGACAGACCCCGACGGACAGACATGGCAATGCGAGAGCCGTTACCTTGCTCGTTGAGTTCCATGCAATCAATGCATCTCCACATATATAATGTGTGGCTCTATTTTCCCCCGTTTGCAATGGAAATTACAATAGGATCAGGCTTCTCGTGTGCATATTTCCTTTTATTTATTTATATTTGCGGATCAGCATGTGAAAACCCAGCCTGGAAGAAAAAAAATCTATCCAATGCAAGCCTGCTTCTCTCTCTCTCTCTCTCTCCTGCTCTCTCCAAACACTTCCAGGTTGTCAGACGCACTAGAAAGGATCCTGAGACCAAGATAAAGCCCCCACCCCCACTCTTTTCTCAGCCTGATCAGATGCAGCTCTCCCCAGCCCACTCCTGCTGCTGCCCAGCTAAAAATAATTTAAAAATTAAAAATAGTAATTAAAAAAAAAAAAAAAAAAAAAGAGAGCGCGCCAAGGCGAAAGAAAAAGAAAGCAGCACTCTCTCGGAAAAAAAGAAAAGAAGAAGAAAAAAGTTTCGTGCGGCTGGTAACCCCGCTCCTCCGGCAGGTTCGCGGCGCTGCGCTGTGCGCGGAGCCGGGCGCGGGCGCGGAGGAGCCGAGCGGAGCGCGGAGGTGACGTGGGCTCGTCCAGCTCCGCTCGCCAAGTGCCGGGACCCACTGCCCAACCAGCTGGGATCCTGCTCCGGAGAGACTCCCTCTCCCACAGCCCTCCCTCCCGCCCCCTCCCCCCCAAACCTCCTTTTCCAGCCTATTTTTCTGGCCGGCAAACAAGAACAAGGCACAAAGACAATCATCAAACTCCGCAGCAACCCTCCCCCTCTCCTTTACCTCCTTCCCCGCTCCCTCCCTCCTTCCCTCCCTCCCTCCTCCATCCATCTCTCCCAACCAAAGAGAAAATTCAGCGTCTGGGAATATCCTGCCCCCCCAGCCCTAAATAAATCGCTGGCTCCGCTAACCTCGCACCACCCCCAGTTCCCCCTCCCGCCCTCAAAGGCACCCGGAGGTGTGGATTTAAACCCAGCTCTAAATTTGCTGGTGCTCACAGAGGCCTTCTATTGGGGGGTGCGGGGTGTTCCCCTAAAATAGATTTTCCTAATGAGTACAAACCCCCCAAAAAACGCGGCGCAGCGGGACCGAAGGCCCCGGGCTGTGTGCGCGGGGCTGTGTCCCTTGTCCCCGCTTGTGGCCGCATCCAGGCTCCTTCCCCTGCCCTTTGCCATCCTCTTCCTCACCCCTCGCCGCGCTGCCACGGCCGAGGGCCGCAGCCCCCCGGAGCTCAAATAATCAAGCCGTCAGCGAGGAGCGGGGCTGGGGGTTTATCTGCATCTTCCTTCGCTCTCTCCTTTTTTTTTTTTTTAATGTATTATTGGGAGGGTAAAGTTGAATAGGTCAGCGCAGGGTAAACAGCCTCCCTGTCGCATTCTGCAGGCTGAAGAGAACCAGATTGGCGAGGCGGATTTTTGATAAGACTCGGAATAAATGGCATGGTTCAGATCTGCTCTGCCCACCCTCCTCCTCCTCCTGCTGCTGCTGCCCCCACCCTCTGCTCGCCGCTCTGTCCCGTCCCCCCACCTATCCAAAAAAAAAAAAAAAACCCCTCACTCTTTTCTGCCTCTCAGACAATTTCTTCTTCTTCTATTTTTTTTTTCTTTTTTTGGCGTTTCGAGGAAGTTTTCAGCAAATCCACCCTCGCTCCCAGCTCTCGCAGGGCGCGATAACACCGGAGCCCTCTGAAAGTTTGAGGTGAGGAAGGGGAAAGTCTGGGGGCGAGCGGCTCTCGGGGAGGGGGGTGAGTCCGCGGGTGTAGTTTGGCATCTCCAAACCCTTCCCATGTGCACGCCAGTCCCAACAGCTACTTGAGAATAAACAGCCAACAGTAAACTCTTGCAAATAAGAATAATAAAATAACTGCACTTGTAGCCGCAGAGAATAAGCCAGAGAATGCTACTTAAACAAACAGAGCGAAGCTTGTCCCATATTTCATTATTTTTCGAGGGGAAAGGAGCCGTGGAGCCCTTCCAAACACAAATAAACGAGGCAGCAGAGCGGGCGCTCCTCTCCCCGCAGGAGCGGCCCCGGCCTGGGGCGAGCGGGCAGCGGAGGCTCCGCGGAGCCTTTCCCTGGCCCTGGCTCTGCTCCGAGAGCTGCAAACGCGGGGGGAAGGTGCGGGAAGGCAGCGGGGCAGGCGGGCAGGCGGTGCGGGGGAGCCGCGGAAACGCGCGGGGAGCGCGGCCGGCCGCACGTGTGCTGCGAGCATCCCCGAAAGAGAGAGGGTTTTTCCTTAAAAAAAAGAATTAAAAAATAATAAAAAAAAAAGAAGCAAAAGCAACGAGGAGAAAGGTTTCTCGCAGAGAGCAAGAGCTTCCCTCCCCTCGGCGGAAAGGAAGGGAGAAGTGAAAATCCTGAAGTTCGGAAGAGCGAACCCGAGCACGGCCGCTGCCTAGAAAAGCACTCACCTCTCCAGTGCCAAACTAGCTCTCAAACACCTTGAAGACAAGTTGAAAACGATGCAAATAAATCGAATTTATTTCCGTCTGCAGGTTGTGGGGGGGGAGGAGCGGACAAGGAGGGAAAGCAAAAAAAAAAAAAAAAAAAAAAAAAAAGCAGCTGGGGAAAAAAAGAAAGGCAAATTCAGGCTCCCCCAGGAGTGGAAGGGCAAGGCGAGGAGCCTTCCAGCTCGTAGCCGGTTTGTGGTCTCAGACAAATTAAATATTACTGTTTATTACCAGCCATACTCCGATAAAATAAAGAGAGTTCAAGGCGATAGCTGCTATCTCACGAGCTTTGCTCCTATAGGACACGGAGACGTCACCAACCACGCAACTGGCCTATTCTGTCATGGTTGACTGCAGCAGTAATGGAAGGTTAATTTGTATTATTCTTCTCTTTTTAAAGCTCTATCAGAGAAAAAGAAATCCATTCGGTGAAACGCGAAATAACCGTGGCTGGGTGCGTGCGACCTCTACATGATGTATGTTTATACATATAAATATAGATATTCACAAGGCAGACTTAGGCATGGGGGTGTGAGGGGTTTGTATCATACACGAGCAGGCACGGAGCCGCTGGGAACGTCAGGGAAACCCGCCCGTCCTCGGAGCAGAAAAGGGGGAAAGCGGAAGCAAAACTCCCTCTTCACCACAAGTTAAATAATCCAACGGGATTGCCATTATTCAGCTGAATTTCTTTTGCTAAACAAATAATTCTGTGAGAGCGAGCGGGAAACTTGTTCAATGAACGCTCAGGCGCCTCTGGAAGCAAGCACGCTGGGCTATATATAGTAAATGATAGCCTGGTTATTTGCACGGATTCGAGTGTGCTTCGAGAACCAATTATTTACTCTGATTAAATAAAAAATATAGGAGGGAAAAAGGGAAGGAAAAAAAAGTAATAAGTCCAGGCGATTATTTGCCAAATGAGATTGACAAGGGGAAAAAAAAAATCAAACCCCTTCAGATCCCTCCAAGTGCAGCCAGTGGCTGCAGAGATGCCGCTGGCGCTGCCCCGTGTCCCAGGTCTCCCTTAATTTGGAGGAATTTTGGGATGCACACGCGGTGGTAGAAAGAAGATTTCACTCAAATTAAAAAAAAAAAATTAAAAAGTAAAGGAAAAATAAAAGGAAAAAAATTACACATACACAGATAGAGAAAAAAAAGTGCTAAAGCGTTTTTTCCTCCAACAGAAAAAGAGAGGAGGAGAAGCAGGGAGCGAGGAAATAAAGAGCAGCACCTAAGGAAGAGCGAGGAGCCGCGCGGGAGCCGGAGGCTGCCCAGGTGAGTTCCCAGCGGGCATCCCAGCCCTGCTCGGGCCGAGGGGCCGAGGCAGCCCCCCGCACCCCCAGCCCTGCCTGCTCTGCCCCGAGCTCCCGGGCCCAGCTCTGCGCGCTCCGGGGCAGCCAGGCCCGCAGGAAAAGCACCAGCAAGGATGGAGCAAAAAAATAAAAAGGAAGTGGCTTAGGGAGGGAAAGGCCCCCTTAACCCTGATGCCCCCATTTGCTGGATCTGGCCGTGCTTGTCAGTCCTCCCAAATATCCGGGATGGAGAGAAAAATTCCCCGAGAGAAGGGAAAAACCCACCGAGGGTGGCTCTGCAGCTGGCACCGAGCGCCCGAAGTGCTGGCAGCGGAGCGGGACAGGACCTCACCCGAAATGAGAATTGAAATATTCTCCCCCGCAGCCGGCATCACCTCCCGGTGTCCCTGAGGTCCCCCCGCAGCCCCGAGGGACGGGAATCGCGGAGCGCTCGCTCTCGGCCTCCGGGGCTGGAGCAGCCCGGATCCCGCTGCTGCTGCCGGGGAATGAGACACAGCCGGGAGCGGGAGGATGAGGGGACACGGGACCAGCACACGCAGAAATGCGGACAGACACACGTAAATACAGGTATTTAAGTACAGATGTGCATGTATGAGCGCGGACACCCCGTTTGCAAACACGCCCCCACACACGATGCCTCCTCGCTCAAGCCTTTAAGCGATTTTTCTATCCCGTGTATTCCATGTATTATTTATTTGATATCTTTAGACTAAACGTGCAGTGCGACCGCCCGAGTGCTGGGATCCAAGAGTTCCTCGTGAATAAACGTGGCTGTTTGTGCACGGAAATACCCCCAGGCACAGCACAAAAATCGCGCGCGTGGATGTGCAGGTGATGAGATCTTCACAAACACTTGCCCAACAGCGTTTCCTCAGGCTCAAGCCATCCCTGCCCCATCCGCTATTGGTTTTATATGGATATTTACGTTTTACCCAGGGTTTAAAGGCAGATTTTTAGGTGCACACAAGCCTTAATCTACCCCCACCCTCCGCCCAGCTCAGTGGGAGTGGGCGCAAATCTGCGCAGAAGGCGGGCGAGTGGATCGGCACGGACGCACCGCCTATGCACCACACTGTCCCTACACATATATATAAATATATGTATATATAATCCAGAAACAGCAATCCCCCACACGCATTCCCCAGCAGCCACGGCCCCAAGCACCGTGGAGCACTTACCTCCGTGGGGGTGGCTGCTCCGTGCCTGTCCCCCCGAGTTCCGCGCAGCCCTGCCGGGCTGCCTCCCGGGTTTTCAGCTCCTGGGGCGCGCAGGAGCCGGCCCGGGCAGCCCCGGGCGGCGGGGAGCCCCGGCTGGGGAGCCCCGCATGCCGGAGCCCCGCACGGCCCCTGCAGGGTGTCCCTGGCCCGGAGCTTTCTCCTTGCGGGAATTCCCGGGCAGCTGCAGGGAGGGGGATGGCCGGGGTGCTGGCTCGCAGTGGGGTCGAGGTGTCAGCAGTAAGAAATAGTGCCGAGCGTGAACTCACTCTCCCCCCGCCCGCCCTCCACACCCCTTTAAAATCACTTTTTGGGTCGGCTTAACCAAATCGAAGAGGTTTTTGCTTTTCTCTCGCGGCTCCTCGTCCTGCCCAGGACGGGGCAGCGCGGCCGCCCGGCTTGTGAAATACAGAGACATCAGCGCTTGTGCTTCCCGACGCTCTTTTTCCCCTCCTTGCCATATTTACAGAGAAAATCAGCTCCCTCCTAGCAGGGATTATTATTTTTCCTTTACATTTTTAGATAATTTACTTCCCCTCTCGGACCAGTTCTCTTTTTGCTTTTATTCCCCTTTTGTTGGCCGCTTTTCGCTTTGGCGAAATACGCACCTGGGAGCAAACAAGTGTTTAAAATATAAAATAATCCTCCTCTCTGGAAGCATTTTTGTCCATTCACTTATTGGTTTGTATTTTCTTTTTTTTTAATATGTGTTGGGTTTTTCCTCCCAATTGTTTCCTATTTTCTTTCCCCTCAGTCGTGGGGGCAGGGACTGACTGCACTGATCTGAGAGTTGGTATCAACAAAATATTTGTATGAAAGTCCCACCAATACAGTTCTGTGGTGTCATTATTTCCATTACAAAATCCTGCATTTAGTGCTGGAGAATTGCTTTAGACGAGCCTTCGGGGGTAGATACCTGCCTCGAGCTTTTTTCTTTTTCTTTTTCTTTTTTTTTTTTTTAAATTTTTTTTCTTGTTTTTACATTACAGGTGAATAGCGTTTTTCTTTTACAGTTTGTGGTTTCGGTTGTTTTGGATTTGGTTTTTGTTAGTTTGTTGGGGTTTTTTTCCCGCCCTTCTGGCTACCTTAAGAAAAAAAAAAATGCAATTAAAACCCTTTTCCCCTCTCTGAGCCCATTAATTTCCCAGGCGAGCTGCAGGCTTTGGAACGGTGACGAAAATGAAAAAGAAGGAGCCGGGCAGAGGCAGGGCTTGGCGAGGCGCGGGCACAGCGCTGCCCTTCCGCACCTCCCACGCGTGGGGTGAAGATCCCTTTTCCTCCTGGATGCCAAGCAGAGCGTGATGATCCCCAAATTAATCCCCAGTGGAGCAGAAGGGATCCATTCTCTTCTCCCCGATCCCTCCAAAAGACATCTCTCAGGGAGGGGACTCCGGGAAGACAGGGGTCCACCACCCCCTCCCCAGTTTTTCCCCAGTGTTGCCCAGAAGAAGAGGGAATTGTGCTGCATTTCTCTTCGTGCCCATTGCCGTGGGGGATTTTTTGGCACGGGGCATCCCCGCTCCATTCCCCCCGCGGGCACGGCCGGGCTGATCTGCTCTGCCCAAGCAGGGCTCAGTCAGGGCCTCATCTCGGCCCCGAGGAGAAAATAAAAGCTGATAAGGCCTTCGCTCTCTTCGCTGCCTGGGAAGAAAAGAAATGGGGGCAAAAAAGGGGAAATGCTCAGCGCCCCGTGCCTCTCCCTGAGAGCGTTCCTGTCCTGACCTTGGAGGGCGGGCGGGGGTGGCAAAAGGAGCCCGATCCCGCAGGGTTTGAATCTTTTCAGTGTCTGATAAAAAGCCTCAAAGCATCACCTGTGAATGTTTTTCCTTCCCTCGCTCTCCCGGGGAGAGCAGCCCTGGGCGGGGGGGAACCCCCGGGCATCCCCACTTCCCTCATCCCGGCCGAATTTCTTCCTCCCTTTCTGTCCAACTCATTTTTCTTTCCCTCTTTTCTCCTTTCCAAGCCCTCTCGCCTCTTTTCTTCCCCATTTTCCGTTTCCCCCCCCTTTTCTCGCCCCAGGTCGCTTTTCTTCCCCTGCCCTAAATAACGCCGAACGACAGCGCAGCGCGGCCGCTCTGGATATCCACATTATAATTTGTATTCCCGGCTATCCACGAATTTCGGGAGCGGGAGACGCTCCCAGAGAGGCGGGGGGTGGCTGTGGGCTCGGCCTTGGACCGGTATCACGAGCATCCTAAAATCCATTTTTATCTCTGCGGGAAAAATACAGATTATATCAATAACCCAAACAGTTCTTGAGATTTCTTTTGTGTGCGTGTTCAGGAAACGTTAAATACCAAAAAATGATCATAGGAGGAAGAGAAAAGAAAAAAAAAATGAGCATATCCTCTCTTGTTCCAGGGCTGGGTGAGGTCCCAAACTGCAGCTTCAGGGCCCTGAGCTACCCGAGCGCAGCAGAGAAATCGGTTTTGGAGGGGCAGAGCCCCGCGGGTCATCAGCGATATCTGGGAGAAGTGGGATGTCCTATCCTGCTTCCCGAAGTGTCAGGGAGTTAATTCTGAGGGTAGCAGGTATCTTCCCTGGAGAGCTTTTCCACACAAGCAGAGGTGGGAATCGGGGCTGAATATTTGGGTGGTGTCGGTACTCGGTGTGGTAAATCTGACTTTTTTTTTTTATAAGCCCGCGTGTGCTTCCATCCATCCAATCCTATAGATTTATACCTGTTCCATGGTTATCAACAGTTCCTGTTGATACCTGCTTCTCTGTCCTGTGGTTTTGGGCACAAAAAATTCCTGCTTTCACCCCACTGGAGACAATTTTTGGAACTCGTTTCGTTCCTGCCTGGGACTTTTGGGGGGCAGCCAGGCGTGTTTACCTGCCCCGTGTGTGTCTGCCAGGCTGCCACCGCAGGGGCCGCGGGTTAATGCTTTTACCAGCTCATTTTGGCTTGAAAATCGTTCATTTCCAACGAAAAATTCTGTAGAGGAGAAAGGAGGGCTCCAATCTCTGCAAAAAAAGCTCCCCCGGAGCCCGGGTGGGACCTGCGGAGCCGAGCCCGGGTCCCCCCGCAGGCTGCGGGCACAGGAGCCACCAACCTCCGCACTGCGGGGGCCCGAGGAGCCGCCGTTCAAGACAATGTCTATTTTCTGTCATTAATAACTCGTTTCTTCCTTTAAAAAAAAAAAAATCTCGTTTGGATCCAAGATTGTTTTTATGATTCAGTCGGACAAGACGGAACACATGTTAGTTTAAGCAGGTTCATGAAATAGCTGTAAATCAAATAAAGTTTACGAGTTTAGCAGGAAATACTGAAAAGATGAGGGGGAGGGAAAAAAAAATCCGCCGAGGCAGAGAGCAGCAGGCTGAAATAGTCGGTGGAGTTTTGTCCTGCTCTGTGTTTCTCTCTGTTCTCTTGTGCATCTTGCCGATTAAAGGCCTCGAGACCCCGTGTTGGCGCCAAGTGGCATGTTATTAATCAGTTATCCCGAGGTTCAGTCCACAGAAGAGAGAAATTTAATCACCAGAAACCAGACCCGACATAAAAGAGAAATCTAAAATCAATTCCCTCCCGTCGTCCCGTCTCCCCCTCCCCTTCCCCACCTCCGAAGCGAGCAGAACGAGCAGGAGCAATCAAGATCGCGCTCCCTCCGCCTCTTAATTGCGGCGGGAGAACCGCAAATTTCTCCGAGCTTTACCCCGAAAAGAATTTGAAAAAAAAAATTTAAAATAAATAAAAGAAACTACATTTAAAAAATCCCGAAGACCCGCAACAAGTTTGTCCTTGATCTCGCTATAAAAACGTGATGGGGGTGAAATATCCCAAGCGGAGCCTTTTATAATGGAACCAGGGGCTGCGGGACGGGGGGGTGCGGGTGGAAATCCCATTTATCGCGGGGGAAATGATCTTTGAAGGCTCCCAGGCCTGGCGGGGAGGGGACCCCTCACCCCAGATGCCCCCCAGGCTCTGCCTCCTTCCCCCAGCCCGGGTTTCACTCCAGGACGGGAATTCTGAGGGAAAGGAGGGGGTCTGTCCCCAAAGCCGCGTGCCCCCCCAAAATCTGAAGGCTTGTGGACACACCGCTGCTCTCCCCACGCAGCCCCTCCTGCCAGGGCCTTTTGGGGTGGGAATTCCCAGATTTGGGTCAGGACAGGAAAAGAAATCCTCGGCCCTCCTTGCTGGCCCGGGCCAGGGCAGCGGGGACCGTGCCACCCTCGGGGAAGGACCGGAGGTGACAGCGCGGCAGAAGGGACCAAAAAAGCCCATTCGCTCGCAAAACAAAAGGCTGCTCGGTGTCCAGGGAGAACGGAGAGCGATGGGGATGGGCCCTGCAGCTTCCACGCGTGTTTCCACGGGGGTCACCCCGTCCCCGCTCCCTCCCCACTGCCTGTCCCCCTGGGCTGCGTGAAGGGCACCCGCAGGAGCTGCGAGCCGGGCGGCCGCCCCGGGGCTATATTTGGAAAAGAATTTGGAAGCTCTTCCAGCAAATCTGTGCGAAAGGTACCGGGCCCCTTCCCCGAGCCCCCCCAAGGGTCGCCCCGCGCCCCGCGGCACCGCTGCTGAGCAGGCAGCGTCCTGCTCCTCTCCATGCCCGTGTTTATTCCTCGAAAGAGAAACGACTCCAAAAAAGCCCAGCTGAAAGTTTTGCCTGCCCAAGCCCCAAGAGAGGCGACTTCACCCCACGCCAGCCAAGGCTCTCACTTGGTGCCAGCCAGATTTGCTTGTTCTGCCCTAAAAAACAATAATAGCAGGAGGGAGTGCTGCGGGCCTGGATCTGGGGGATGAAGGGCGAGGGGGGAACAGCTGCCTCTCTGCCCTCTTTCCAACCCAGCAAAACTGCTTGGCGATTTTTTTTTTTTTAACGAAAACCATATTTTCCCCGCATTTTTCTCTTCCCCAGCAGCCTCTCAAAAACCTAGAAAGCAGCGCTGAGAGCTGGGTTGCCTGATGGGTTTCTTTTCCCCCTCCACGCTCTATCTGCTCGTTTTCTTACAGCCCAAACAGCCTGGAAACCACAGAAAAAATAATCAAAGTGCAGCATGTTTTCCCACAGTAGGAATTCATGTTAGCACTCTCTCCACGTCTTGATCCTCCGTTTGCGTGTGGGGATCCGGGCGGAGACGCCTTCAGATGCACAGGCACAGATGCAGGAAGAGATTTTTGGGGTGTCCAGAAAACACCCAGCCCCACGCACGGCCTCGGGGGGAGGATGGATCTGAGCATTTCCATTTAAATACGGGAATTTCAGTGCAAAAGGGGGACTGGAGCCTGCTCCCACCCACCCAGCAGCCCGTGGTTCCCCCGTGCCCGTGGGTGCCTCTTCTTCACTCCGCGTTGCCCCAGAAACTCCTCGGCTCCTCTGCCACCTGGCCGAGCCCCCCCGCGGCATCACACCGGGAAAAACGGCTGAAAATAGGAGGAAAAGGGAAAATTTGGATTCCCCACCCAGGCAGACTGCGGCTAGGAGAGCTGGTGGGCTCCGGGGGAAAGAGAGGTGAGGGGAGAGGGCTCGTTCTCCAGCAGAAAAGGGTTTTCCAAACCCCCCTGGCTGTCAAGCGCATCCGAAACTCCTCCTCTGTCTGCGGAGCGGCTCCGCTCCCCCCTCCCGGCTCCCGCAGCTGGGCGGCGTAGGTAGCTCCAGATAAGTGAAAGTGGTATTTTTATAGGCTGATAAAAGGGACTTATCTCGGCTTTCCCGAATCTGACAAAGATTCCCTAATTGGTCATTTGCCCACAGCAGCCTTCCCCAGCCCAGGGCCCTCCTGGCGCTATTTTCAGCCTCCCGCGGGGGTGTCGCGCCCCAGGTACCCCCTGGGCTGCTGCTCCCCGGCCTCTTCCTTCCCAAATCCACGGCGACAGCTCCTGCTCGCTCCCGGCCGCCCGCACGGCTGGGGAAACCGGGGAAATCCCTCATCCCGGGAATCACAGAGCCCGTCTGCCACACAGCATCACCCCGGGGACTGCCCGCCAGGGCGGCTGTCCCCCTGAGCACCCTCCGAGTCCTGGCCGAGCGCACCCACAATCTGATTATCCGGCCTTGTAGCGACACCAAATACATTTTATCGCACAAATACATTTTATCAGCTGGGAAAAAAAACCCCTCCTATCACATGCAAAAGCACATTCAAGCAGACAAAAGCTCTGTACAGACAGAAAACGGGTGGTGATGCTGAGTTCTGCAGCAAACCTTCCTCCTCCAGCCTCCAGCTGCCGAGATTAGATGGAAATGGAATCCCTGGGATTGAATGCAAACGGCAAAGCAGAGAGACCCCATTTCTACCACAGCTCCCCAGGCAGCCCAGGTTCCCTGAAACAGGCTACAACCACCTCACAACCAGACTCTGCTCCACACATCAGCTGAGATTCTTTTTCTTTCCAATGCATTTTAGTCAGCAGGCTACAAAAAAAAAAAAAAAAAAAAAAAAAACCAAAAAAAAACCAAACCCCAAAAAAAAACAAACAAAAAAACCAAACAACAACAACAACAACAACAACAACAAAAACCTCCCAAAAAACACAAAAAACCACAAAAAATCACAAACCAACATACAAAAAACAACAAACAAACAAACAACCAAACAAAAAACAACCAAAAACCAAACTGAGGAGGAGGAAATGCATTTCTGAACACCCAGAGCTTGCAGCCAGCTGGCACCACAAGCCTTGAAGCGAGCTAGGAAGTCACCCACTAAACTTATTTCTCATTTTCCGTTTTTTTTCCTCTGTGGAAGGGGGAAGGGAATCTGGATTAACAGCCCATCTGACCTACCAGTGGTGTTGGGACATGAATCAAACACAATCAAAGGCCCCAGTGTCAGCATTAGCTTGACCCCTACAACTGCTGGGGCTGGGAGCTCGGCGGGGCTGGCTCTGGCCAGAGCAGGGTGAACCTTGCCCAGGGTTATTGTGCCTGCCCAGGGCTCTGCCCAGCCCGTGGGTTGGGCTGCAGCCACCTCAGCCCAGAGGGGTGCAGGGCCCGTGGGGTGGACCCAGCAGAGCAGGACAGCCCTGCTCTTGAGTGAAAACAGATCTCCCACCCCCCAAACCATCCTCTCCAAACCATGGAGGACAGGAAGGGAGGTGTGGGCTTACAGGGTTTTTCAGTTATTTTGGGGTGGGGTTTTTTTGTTTATTTGTTTTTCTTTTTGCACCTTTTTCCTTTCCGGGACTTTTTTGGTCTGATTTCCCTTGATTTCCCTTGAGTGGGCAAGGCCCAACCTGGTGGGAAAAGGCCAGATCCCAGTGCTACCCAGGGGACTTGGGACTTACATCCCAGACAAT